TTGTACATGTTTTTCATCACTGAACAAACCTAACCTTTCAGGAAGAGACTCATTGAATGATTTGCCCATTACTAATTCCTCGATCCTTTTTTGTCTGACTTGTTGTTTCCCATAGTAAGATAAAGGCTGCGTATGAGGAATATATTCGACTCCATAGCCTCAAGGTAGAGATTGTTAACATCCTTGCAGTGCTTGATGAAAAGGCATTTCACGGCATGGCATTTTACTGTTATGTTTGAACCGTTGTATTGATCGTCATGGTTGTATTGTGTAATGCATATTGTGTCTCAGAAGTCATGTAGTTGGTGTCAGTGAATTTGTTGGGTGGTTTTGCATTAGGCCATGGGCTTCAGAAGTAAAGCGAACTGCGAGTTCAGAGAGATGTTCATATACACGTAGTTAGAATACCATTAGTGTCACTTTCACATTGTACTGTAGCAGTTGCAACAGCTTCATGCAGGGATGATAGAGGACGCTATGCGGCTTACTCACATGGGACAGAAGGTGGCATATGGTATGAGTGTTGGGGAGGGGGGCAAATTTCCACATTGTCTCCGTCTTTAAATGGAGTTTTCAGACTTCATTCCACTTTAGTGAAGATCCTTGCGCTCAGTGCTGCTCCAGGATATTATGGAAACCTCAAATTTGTCCAATACAAGGCTAAAATGCTAGTTTCAACAGTAAATATTTAAAACCGATCATGGAGCTGTACATGAGAAAAGACAGAGACAAAGCTCTGAGATTGGGGAAAGGCTATTTTCACCTCGGCAAATTACATGAAATGTGATGTACTTGTAGCTTGAAATTCGTTCAAAGGCACAATAGCCACATACATGTATGTACATGTGAGGCACAACACAAGTTGAACTTGGTTAAACTTGTGAAAGCTTATACAACATACATGTACATGTCATGTAGTGGCAGAGCATCTATTCCATATTACATGTACATTGTTTCAGAAGATCTGGAAGTCACAACATCACTTGATATCATAATAATGATTATTTGCAGACACTCAAAATAAGTCGATTTCTTTGTGTACTGATGAATCAGGATCAGATTCTTGGCTGCATTGCACTTCAATTTTTGTACCAGTTGATTTGTTATTGTGGTCTTTAATTTCTTCAAAGTGAGATTTGCAGTTTTTTCTTTTCAATTATGGATTACAAAACACTTGAAAAACAGTGAGTCATTAGTCACAAGTGCAGTCACATAGATGAAATCCCACACTGACCTTCACTAGAAGCACCTGTCGGCAGGGAGGATATTACCCCGTAGTTTCCTTAATGAAGAGTGCAGTTTACTCTGTTATTACCACGATTACATTTGCACAGTTACAGGCAGATCCTATTCTGTGTATTCAACCTCAGGATTAAAAGGCATCAGGTTGAAAAGCCAAGGTGTAAGTGGAACAAATCACTGTGTGATTGTTTGACGAAGGGATGAGATCTTTTGCCTCTGCTTGTTGGCTGTGTTGTAGGTTTCTGAATATTCAGAAACTTTTGATTGTATGGATAATGCATGGTCTTGAGTTGATATTTGTGTTTGTTTTAATTTGGGAACTGTATGACACTGAATCCTTCAAAATCCAACACTGCAGGAGCCCAACACTAGGGAGCTGCATTCACCAATCCTACAAAACCCTTCAAAATCCCACAGAGCCATGCCTGATAGATTTAAGAGGATCTAGTCAAACAAAACAAAAAATGAAGGATTGTTCACAGTTTTTCAGCAGAATTCATCTCCTGTTTAAAAATGATTTATAATGCAGACAGTTGTTACCAACCTTACATGTTTTTTCTTTACCATGGACGGAAGATGAGATCTAATTTATTCAGGGATTTTTCTTTACATTTTACATTACACATTGTAGTTGTTTTGTTGTTTGTTATTCACTTCAGTTGCCACAGCTCAAGTAAACAAAAATGACTATAATAAGAGGTTGTTTACTGCATCACTAGTCCTACGCTAGTTGGCTGTTGGTGTGGTTATATTGATACCGGCATACAGTGTACATTTTTATCATTAGTTTTATAGCCAGTGCATTACATCATACATATCTGGACATGTACATGTATTAATCCACTCATACATGTACCTTGGCAATTTTGATATCGGTGCCTCAGTCCAGCTTTATTGAAATTTTATCTCCTTTTTCTCTGCATTCAGTTCTCCTTTTCTTTGAACTAACACCTTAGTTGGCTTGTTTTGCTGTGCGTTTGGAAACTAACAGACACTGAAGTGAAATACTAAAGCCAGTTCATCACCATGCTTCAAACAAATCTGGAACAAACCAAAAACAAATGTTCTCTACATTTGATGGAACATGATCACTTTCGCATGAAAATTCAATGTTGCAATTTTTATGGCAGTCTTAAATGAAGCACTAAATTAACCTATTGAACTGGATTTGGTATTGAACTAATTCCTGCATTGATGAATTTGGGTTTTTTTGTAGTTACCAATACTTTGAAGATCAAATTTGAGATATTTATGTAAATGTATCACTTGAGAACTTTCAAGAAGATGGTTTAACCTGCGTTCATTAATTTAGATAGATGGTTTTTGTCACTGATATACGTATTTAGTGTTCAAAACAAGCGACATGAAACCAGTGCTGAAGTTAGTTCTTGGAACAATTACTGAGTCTCATCAACTTTTTTTTTCTCTTACACAGGTAAGTGAATTGGAGAAGGCATCCAATGGGACTTCCCTCCAGGGGAGTCCCCTAAAAGTAGGCCGCTCCCCAACCTCATCCCCAGAGCCCTCGCTATCCCAGCTACCAGATTCGATGGAAACATCCCTACCCGAGATCAGACAGCACCTTCAAGGCAGCATCAGTCCACCCTCCAGCCAGGGATCCCCAGAGAGGGTACAACCAAGAAAGGCCCTGATGAGCAAGATTCCCACGAGTCCTGTCAAGGAGGCCACAGTCAAGCTTTCCAACTGTCCATCAGATTCCCAACATACCGATACGGCAAGTAGCCAAGCATCCCAAATGATGCCATCCTCTCCAAGCCACAAGGGAACCACTGGAGGAACCAGTCAGAGAGCAGGTGGTTCCAAGAAGCAAGTTAGCAGATCCAAGCTGACGCAGCCCACCTCCTACAAATCCAAGTTAGCGGGATCTCAGGACAGTCTCCTGTCCGAGGGGTCACAGCCAGATGAAGGAAGCCAGCTCGCTGAGGATCGGAGAGGAGGTCCCCTCAAGCGACAGTTGCCCCAGCCCCAGCAGCCCAGGAGCACGGGGATTCCCCAGAAACAGCAGTCCAGGGGCCAGCAGGGGTCACTGGAGCTCCAGCAAAAAGGTATGCAGGAGATCAATGGCAGCACCGAGGGAATCCCCAAGCCTAAAGAGATCCGCATGATGCCAAATAGGCAGCTGACAGGGAAGGCTTCAGGTTTGCTCCCGAGGGGATCTTCAGGGCAGGTCCAGAAGGATATCCAGCCACAGGTTGAGAATGGCAGTCTGCTTCCAAAGATCCCATCACTTGTCCCGATGGCCAAGGGTACCACTTCTGCAACTAAACAGGAGCAGGCTTTAGGCGGAAGAGTTGTCACCACCAGGCCAGCTGTCATAGATGCCAACTCCAACCCAGTCCCCATGCAGAATGGGGTTTCTACAAAGCCCTCTGGCCTGCAGCAACCACAGTCTGTCAAAAGAGTAGAACAATCAGCCCCAAAAGCTGGTCCCATCCCAACTGGTCAGTTTGCCCGCCGGAAGCAGTCACCACCAGGCTTGACTCGGGACTGCCCCTCCAGATCTCCAGACAGACAATCATCTGAAGAGGAGCAGGCCACGCCACCAGCATCTCCCAAGACCCGAGAGCAGCAGCAGCAGCAACCCCGAGGCAGCAGGATTGCTATGCCTGTCCGTGGCAGGGGTGCCAGCAAGCTACCTCGGGGCACTGGTATCCCTACGAGGAGGGTCAACAACACTGAAAGATGAAAGGTTTCAGGGTCAGATATCAATTGTAGAGAGCATTGGCACAGGTCAGACAACCCTTGGTTGTTGGAATCAAAGGAGAGTGTAAATAAGATTCGTTATTCATCACGAATTTGTGGAGAAATTTTGTTGGCATTTGTTCATTCTCTTTTTCTGTCCATGCATGGCATCCAAAAACCCTGCTCAAAGTCTCCTTCGGTTTTGAAAGCTCTCTTTTTTTCAGAATCCCATGGTACCTGGTCTCAAAGTTCCAAGCGTGCCAAAGTAAGTTTTTTTCAAGAAACTTCACAGAGAGCTACATGTACATGCAGAGAGTGCAACAAAACAAATTGTCTCTGTGACTTGCACACTCGCACATTCCATTCTGTCCTCATTAGGTGTTAAACAAAAGAGGGTTGTAGGCTCTACGGTGTGTCGCTGACATTTTACTTTGGAATGTACATATTGTATTTGTGAATATTCATGATGTAGCACAATGTATAGTAATTTATCAAAGGTCTGAAAATATTGCAAAGTAAATTAATCCACTACATACAAATGAAATAAAGCACTTACCTGTAAAATTACTATCAAGCAAAAACTGATATGAGAGTGCTTATTGTACACTTTCTCTAGGGAACATTTTTGCACAGAAAGTCATGTGACATAGAAGTACCAAAGTGAATACGTCATGCACACAATTAGTGTGTAAAAGGCATTAGCGCAGACCAGCGCGTGAACCAACACGCGCGTGTACTCCATTCGTTTGCACTGCACACTCTGGTTCACAGTTACGTCACACTTCGGTACTCTATAGGACTTGCATACCACTACATGCATACGTGTACATATCTGTACTGCACAGTACCCTTAAAAATCGGTTACTTTGGGGCTACTTGCTGTATAGTTTCGAGCTTGTCTTGTTGTATGCCTGAGGTCAGGGGTTCGAGTCCCAACCAATCCAATTTGTGACTTGTTTTTTCTTTCAAGTCCTGCGACAGCACTGAGTGTGCTGTGCGGATTAAAGTACAACATCATATAAAGTGAACCTTGATATTCTAATCTTTCTGCCCAAAAATTACAATGTGGAGAATTTCTAAGACAAGTTGTCAAAGGCAGTGGTCGTATAGAAATTGATATATTCCATAATGGGGAACATCATTGGCTTTATTAACTTTGCATTCCAGAGTTTGGGCATTTTAAAAATTTTGTTCCATTTTGTAAATGTACACGGAGTAAACATACATGTACATGTACCGCCATTAGAATCATGTATGACTTCATATTGAGAAAATCTCTATTCCAAGTCGGACTTGTCAAGCACTGCATGTTTATTTCCACTCTTATTTTGTAAATAGACAAATGCAACGAATACCATGATGTAAAAATGTTTTGCAGATGTACATTGTACGTGTATGTAGCTGTGATAAATGTTTCATGATGTAAATTTGTATGCAATATGTAAATAATGCTTTGGCCTTTCGCTGAGTAGACTAGTAGGCTGGAAATGTACATTGTCAGTGTCGTAGTTACGTTCTTACTTGAGTTCCCTGTAATCACAGCAGAAAGGTAGACTTGATGAGGTCTAATGCCATGGCTCTTGGCAGACCCTGGACTCTGTTTTCTAATAGCCTCCTTGCCTTAGTCTCACATTTGGTCCTAACAAGTGTAGCCGTGTTCGGTTTTCAACAGTATAGTTTTCTACGCGACGTCTCTAGTCATGCTTGTGGAGTAGCGTAAGTTTGGTAGCAAAGTATTTCTGTTCATCTTAGTTTGCAAGGTCACCCCATTAATGCTAGACATTTGTTTGTGTGTGTTGGAAACGTTTGTACTTTGTGCGCTTACCTTATGTACCGGTACCTAGCATGGACTTGTGAACAAAAGATGTCCACAGATGCAGGAAAGGAAGACGTTCTGTGGACTTACAGGACGTTTCCCCTTCTCTGAAAAAGGGTTTAAAGGTATTTTGGGGTAGGAGTCATCCGTCGTAAAAGGAAGAGGAATAGTCAAGGAAACCTTGTACAAAAAGCCTGCTGAAAATCGTCTTCCCAGTTCAAGAAAAATGAGTATTTTCACTGAGTTTTCTTAACTGCACGAAAAGAAAGGAATGTCCACAGTAGGTATGTAAGGTAAGTGTGTGTGTGTTTTTGTTTTTTGTTTTTTCATAAATGACTGAGGTCTTCAACAATGCAGCTTACACGGTTCCACCTTGATTTGAGAATGAACCATGTGTTTAACGTCGAAACTTTGATACAAATGAAAAGTCCACCAATTTATTTTGTTGTTGAAAACAGAATGATTTCAACAGTTTAGGAATTTTCCTTTTGAAGGTATTGATTTGTGAATAGTTTTGATAATATGGAGCATCTTTTTGGAAAAAGGAGAATATTCTTCCAAAATACATGTGTGTAAAAGAATCGCTGGAAGGGATATTTTTTGGGTAGGGAGGAAGAAAATGTAACGTTAATGGAAGTAGGGAACCATGCCTGTTAGTGGTTTCAGCTTTCTTGATCCAAGTTGTGTTTCCTGCGGTATTTGCGGGTGTCGTAGTATGGAAATGGTCTTGCCATGCATTAACAACCATACAAGGAATATGTGCATAAAGGCCAAGTTGTCAAAGTGGTGTGGTCACTGAAAGTAATGAAGTGAAATCGTTGATTTGAAAGCGTACTTGCCTATATTATTACATGTACGTCCTGGCTCTGCTTACTTATACGTATAAATGTATCTGTCGCTCAGTTGGAAGAAAACATGTAGCAACTCTTTAAGTGTACTGGCAGACAAAGCCTCTTACCTGTATGATTAAGAAGTGAGGGAAACATTGAAAAGGGTGTCCTTTCACCCAATTCAGAAATTGAATCCTCTATGTTAGTGGAGTGGAGTTTGTAGGTGGTCTCTACAGTACTTACAAGTTAACTTACATCGTAGTTACATTTATATTACTCTGGATAAGAAGAGTTGAAATGGTAAGTCGCATGGACTTCCCTTGTGTAGAGCAGGGAAAGCTTAACCCTAACACTCCTCAGTCCTCCAACAGGTGAAGGATTGAGGAGGGTTAGGGTTAAAGAATGGGTCTGTGGTTAGAAGTAACAGTCACCTTATTGTTGGTCCTGTTAAATATCTACATGTATGTATGTTGGAGAAATAAGGAGGGCGTTTCGAGGTTATGTTAACACACTGGACCCTGAACGGGTTGGCCACTTCATTATTTGCACTGAACAACTTTTGTTTGGGGATTTTTATTGGAGGGGGATTTTAATCCATTTTTGTCATGCTGTAAAGACTTTCAGGTGTTCGCTTTGTGGAGACGGATCCTGGTTTCCAGAGGAATTTTGGAGTCTCTTTGAAATGTGAATATCATGTCATTGATCAGATTGAATTGTTTTGTTGTTTTGAAGCTGGATATGGATTTGGGTTCTCAGTTATGTGACCACGGTTTTCAGTGTTTTCTATCAGCTGAATCTCCAAATTTCATTGTCCAGTTCAACTAGAAGCACAAATTTTAATTTAATTCATCCAAGTTTAAAAATCATGTGATAAGCAAAAATAGTGGGAACTACTTTTAATTATGAAGGTAATATTGTGCAATGTCTTGTACATGTTTGTCATGTTTAACTGCTGCGTAGAAATAAAAACCGAAAGTCATAAAGAGGCAGATTCATGTCAAGTGTGGACCAGTTTTTGGTCTTGAAATTTTGCTAAATTTTTACCAAATGTTTGCAAAGGGTCGCCTAGGAATTCAAAAGAATTTCAAAGACAAATTTACAAGGGCTAGTCCTGCTGTTGATTTAATTGATTTTAACCAAAATTAATTAATGGGGCCAGTCAGTAGAATTATAAAGACTTTCAAAGAAATGAAAATTGCAAGGGGTTAGTCCTGCAGTTTTTAATAATTTTGTCCCCCCTCCAATGGCAACCTAAGAATTTTAAACATTATTTTGAATAAGTCAAATTTGTTATGGATCTGTCTTGCAATTTTAACTAATTTTGACCAAAACAATTTGCAGGGTAAACCTCGGAGAGTTAAAGAAATTCAAAAAATTAAAAGTTGCAGTGGCTTAGTCTTGTTAAATTTCACCAAAATAAATTGCAAGGGGATAACCTTAGAATTTTAAAGAATTTCAAAGAAATCGAAGATGGAAAGGGGTTAGTCTTGTTGTTTTAATTAAATTTGCCCAAAATCAATTGCAAGGGGTTAACCGTAGACTTTCAAAGAAATCCAAAATTAAAAGGGTTGGTCTTGCAGATTTAATTAATTTTGACTAAAATTAATTTAAAGGGGTAAATCTTAGAATTTCAAAGAAATCATAGATGCAAGGCGTTGTCACGCTGTTTTAATTAAATTTGCCCAGAATAAATTGCAAGGGATCAACTTAAGAATTTTTAAGAAATCTTAGGTTAAAACGGTTAATCTCGCATTTTAAAAAATTTTTACCTGAAGATATAAAAAAAAATTTTAAAAGTTGTAAGGGGTTGGTCTTGCTATTTAAATTGAATTTGACCAAATGAAATTGCCAGGGGACAACCTTAAAATTTGAAAGAAATTAAAATAAATAAAATTTGCAAGGGGTTAGTCTTGCTGTTTTAATTTTGGCCAATCAGTTACAAAGGGTTTACTGTAGAAATTTAAAGAATTTCAAAGAAATCCAAAGTTAAAAGAGTTGGTCTTGCAGTTTTAAGAAATTCTGACTAAAAATAATTTCAAGGGATAAACCTTACAATTTGAAAGAATTTCAAAGAAATCAAAGATGCAAGGGGGTTGTCTTGCTGTTTTAATTAATTTTGTTCAAATTAAATTGCGAGGGATTTAACTGAGGAATTTAAAGAATTTCAAGGAAATCTTATGTTAAAAAGGTTGATCTTGCATTTTTAATAATTTTAACCTGATGATTTGAAAAAAAAATTTTTTCAAAGTTGTAAGGGGTTAGTCTTGCTGTTTCAATTAAATTTGCCCCGAATAAAGTGCAAAGGATCAACTTAAGAATATTTAGGAAATTCAAAGGAATCTTAGGTTGAAACGGTTGATCTTGCATTTTTAATAATTTTAACCTGAAGATAAAAAAAAAAACTTGTCTTGNTTTTAAAAGAATTTCAAAAAAATCCAAAATTAAAAGGGTTGGTCTTGCAGATTTAATTAATTTTGACTAAAATTAATTTAAAGGGGTAAATCTTAGAATTTCAAAGAAATCATAGATGCAAGGCGTTGTCACGCTGTTTTAATTAAATTTGCCCAGAATAAATTGCAAGGGATCAACTTCAGAATTTGTAATAAATCTTAGGTTAAAACGGTTAATTTTGCATTTTAAATAATTTTTACCTGAAGATATGAAATAAAAAATTTAAAAAGTTGTTGCTATTTTAATTGAAATTGACCAAATGAAATTCCCAGGGATTAACCTTAAAATTTAAAAGAAATTAAAATAAATAAAATTTGCAAGGGGTTAGTCTTGCTGTTTTAATTTTGGCCAATCAATTACAAAGGGTTAACCGTAGAAATTTAAAGAATTTCAAAGAAATCCAAAGTTAAAAGAGTTGGTCTTGCAGTTTTAAGAAATTCTGACTAAAAATAATTTCAAGGGATAAACCTTAGAATTTGAAAGAATTTCAAAGAAATCAAAGATGCAAGGGGGTTGTCTTGCTGTTTTAATTAATTTTGCTCAAATTAATTTGCGGGGGATCAACTGAGGAATTTTAAAGAATTTCAAGGAAATCTTATGTTAAAAAGGTTGATCTTGCAATTTAAATAATTTTAATCTGATGATTTGAAGAAAAATTTTTCAAAGTTGTAAGGGGATAGTCTTGCTGTTTTAATTAAATTTGCCCAGAATAAGTGCAAAGGATCAACTTAAGAATATTAAGGAAACTCAAAGGAATCTTAGGTTAAAACGGTTGATCTTGCATTTTAAATAATTTTAACCTGAAGATATAAAAAAAAAATTTAAGTTGTAAGGGGTTAGTCTTGCTGTTTTAATTGAATATGATCAAAAGAAAATACCAGGGGTCAACCTTAAAATTTGAAAGAAATTTTTAAAAATGAAATTTGCAAGGGGTTAGTCTTGCTGTTTTAATTTTGGCCAATCAATTGCAAAGGGTTAACCGTAGAAATTTTAAGAATTTCAAAGAAATCCAAAANAAAAAAAATTTTTTTAAGTTGTAAGGGGTTAGTCTTGTTGTTTTAATTGAATATGATCAAAAGAAATTGCCAGGGGTCAACCTTAGAATTTGAAAGAAATGTCAAGGAATTTAAAGATGCAAGGGAGTTGTCTTGATGTTTTAATTTTGACTGATCAGTTGCAAAGGGTTAACCGTAGAAATTTAAAGAATTTCAAAGACATCCAAAGTTAAAGGGGTTAGTCTTTCAGTTTTAAATATTTTTGACTGAATTAATTTGAAGGGCTTCACTTTAAAAGTTGAAATTGAAAAAAATGAAAGTTGCAAGGTGTTAGCCTTGCTGCTTTAATGGAAATTCATTTCAAAGAAATCAAGAAAGCAAGAAATTAAGTTTTATCAATTTAAAAATGCAAGGGGTTGACCTTAGAATTCTAAAGAATTTCAAAGAAAAGGGAATTACAAGGGTTAGTCTTGCAGTTTTAACTAATTTTGACAAAATAAATTGCAAGGGCTTAACTAAACTCTAAGGTTAAATTAAAGAATTTCAAAGAAAACAAACATTTATAAGACGCGAGTCTTACAGTTTTAAAAATTTTGGCTGAAATGAATTTCAAGGGTGTTTGGGGGATTTTATTCCATTGTGAACAACAATATTGCAAGGAGCTTTTTTGAAGTTTTATTAAATTTTGGCAAAACATACTACAAGGGGTTAATTTTCGACGTTTTATCTATTTTGAACGAATTTTAATAAGGATTAGGTATTAAGAATAGTATCCTGAGATTGCTGCTTGCTCAAAGTAAAAGTATACCGAATACTTTAATAAATTTTGGCGAGAAATTAAGAGTTACTTATGCTTGATATTTTAAAAAGATTAACACTACAGTTTTTATGTTGCCTAAAGGCAGAGGTTTACTGTCACATTTTCAAAAATTTACTTTGAAATTTAAGCAAGTTACAACATATGTAGACACTTTGAATACAATATTTTAGTACAATCAGGAATAAAAGAAAACAAATGCAACATTTAACAAACAGAATGGAAAGAACGTAACAAACTAGAGAGATATTCATAAATATTTGAATTCACAAATGTAGGGAGGAAATTGTCTTGGATGTCATTTTGGTGAAGTCAAAGGAGTCACACAAGAAGTGAACAAAGACAGCCTTGGTGGATTCAGAAACATTTCAGGCCGGAGCTAGAAAGTTAACCGCAATCCAATAAAACATATTCAGTAAGTTATATGCACACGTTTAACCTAAAGTTATGAAAAGGCTACAGAACAAGATTCTGAGGTAATTTCGGATGTACCAAAATATTATACTAAAAGGTTGGCATACTAGTACATTCAAATCTTGTTAACTAGAGTTAAAATTTAATGTTTTCATTTTTACCCCTGAAATAATTTCGTTTTATTTCCAATCCTTTTCCTTTTTTAAGTTATTGAATCACATTCCCGATTTATTGAAGAATGTCATCTCAAACGAATTTATTCCATAAATTGTTCTACGGCACGAACAACTTTCTGTAGGAATCCTACATTTCCCTCTGTTGTCTCTCGCTGTTCAGATGGGTGTTCTCCTGCTTCTGCGTGCAGTGCCCTCTCTTGCTCAGAATCAGGTCTTGGCCCTGGCTTCTCTTCCGCCTTCTGGCTACTCTCAGAAACAGGTGACTTTTGGAACCGAGGTCGGCTAAGAGGAGAGTTTGGGGGATCGTTTACTCGCCCATCTTCCCAACCAGACTGTGAGTCTCCTCTATAATTAGATTTGGACCCGGGTTTCACCTCCTGTCTTTTGTCGAGCTTTCCTGGATATTGCTCCGGTTTAGCTTCTGGGACATTATCCCAATCAGACAATGAGTCGCGTTCGGGTGTAGCTTTTTGTTTGGGTCGTGGTTTAGGCCTTGGTGGTGGCGTGCGTCTAGATTTTTGGAGCTCCTCGCTTAGTTCGCCAATCTGTCTTATGAGATCAGCTTTATCGTCGCGCAGTCCACGAAGTGTCTCTGTGAGGGCAGCGTTGTCGTGTTGAAGTCCACCGATGATGCCCTGCAATTCTGCCTCCTTGTGGTCTCTTGTCATCTCCTTCGCCGAATGATCTTTCTTCAATTCATCGACCTGCTGTGAGAGCTCAGTCTTGTTTTCATTGAGGCCCTGAAGTGTGCCCGTGAGGATGGTCTTGGCTTGTTGGAGTCCTCGGATGATGCCTTCCAGCTCCGCCTCCCTCTGGTTTCTGATCTCCTCCTTTGCTAAGTAGTCACTCTCGAGTTGATTGACTTGTCGCATGAGCGCTGTCTTATCTTCACAAACCCCTCGAAGTTCGTCTGTAAGGATAGTCTTGTCTTGTTGGAGTCCTCGGACCATATCCTGCAGCTCACTCTCTAGCTTGACTCTCATCATTTCTTTTGCTGAGTTGTCTTTCTTGAGATCATCAGCCTGCTGAGTAAGCACTACCTTGTCTTCACTGAGTGCCTTAAGAGTGTCTGTGAGGACCACCCCCTCTTGTCTGAGTTCTTGGATGATGTCCAGCAACCGCACCTCTTGCTGGTCTCTCGCTTTATCCCTCACCGATTGCTCTGCTTTGAGTTCACTAATCTCTTGCAGGATCTCTGCCTTGTCTTTGCCGAGTCCTTGAAGTGTGGTAGTGAGCCCAATTTTATCTTGCTGTAGCCCTTTGATGATATCCTGCAGCTCCTTCACTGATTCGTCCCTCGCCATCTTCAGCTCCTCCATCTCTGTCTGGAGTGCATCTACGGTTTCTTCCATCTCCGACAAATGTTGTTCCCTCTGCAAGAGGTGGGTCTCTTGCTCCTTGTGCACTCTATCAGTTTCAAGATGCAGGGTATCCACAGTGTCAGTCAGCAGAGAGGATCGGCTGACAAGGTTCTGTGTCCGCTCCTTCACTGGATCCAAATCGTAAAGCTTCCTGTCGATGTTTGAGGACTTGTCAGCCGAAGCCTTGATTGTCTGGTTGACGGATGCAAGTCGGTCCTGAACAGCGTACCTGATAAACAAAAAGGAACCAATGCCTTGAGCCAAACCGAGGAGAGAAGGGTGAAAAGAATCCGGTTCCATTTTCTGGTTCCAATGACGCGGCGATAATTGGAAAAACCAGTTAGCATTAACCCTAACAGTCCTCAATCATCAACTTCTGATTTTCCACACGTCCCCTGGGGGTTTGCCATCTGTAACCGTGAATGCTAATAGTCCTTTAGTATGGCTCCCCCAAAAATCAATGATCGGTTTGCTGTGTAGATCTACGACTGCTGCTGTAACATGGGCACATTTGACTCGACCTACTTGAATGACAGGATGTCGTTCCGTAGTGTCTGCAGGTCCCGCGGCCGCACTCCCTCTGAGTTCTGTGATTCTGTCGACAGGTTAGCTTGGATGTACCTGCTGCTGACGAGCTTCAACACTCGCTGCCACCAGGAAGTGGGGTGCAAGTAAAAAAAAGTCATAAACTGTGTCTTAGTGGAATCCACCACAAGTCTCTTTATAAATCAAGTCAAAGGTCCTTTACCGGTCAATCAGTAATGGGTAACGGGTATCCAACAGAGGAAAATATTTCCTCTCCACAAAAGACATGTTGATCAGCAGCTTCTCAGTGATGTATCCAGTGTAGGGTGGGGGAGTTTCATCGCCCATAGATATGTTGACTTTTAGTTTTCTTTTTTCTTCATCGTTAATTTTCTTTAGTTTTAGGATTTGACAGTGTCTGTATTCTAGAAATGTTTCACCCACCTTTTGTAGAGAATTCTTTTATAAACAAAAAGTGGGCAGTTGTTTTGGGGAAAAAAATCAACTCTGTCCCTAACCCACCCAGGCCACCCCCGATATGAGCATGCCACTGAATGGGATGAAAATGTGACAGTTATATGGGAATGTTGTTGTCACTGTTTAGTTGAAAAGTTTGCGACTTTACCCATAAGATTGAATGCATGTGATAGACTTGTGATGGGCTTGATTATAAAGCTGCCGTAAACTGAGAGGTTGACAGTAAAAGCCTCATCACGGATGAAAACTCTGGGTCTAATAAGTTCACTTCCAAGTCAATAACAAACACAACCTCTATAGAGCAGGTCGTCTCTTTGAAGGGACGGCAAGAAAATCGTTGGATTATGATTATGACGTCGGTGAGATAAAAACAATCCAAAATACTTGTGGATTTCCCATCAATATCTGTATCAACACTTGTCACACATAGGATTATTTCTCGAAGGATTTATGATTTTTATGGCACTTCGTATTTGAATTTTCAAACAAATTGCCAATAATTAGGCAAACTATAAAGTCAATTAGTCTACGGGATTCATGAATGAACTTCATTGAACATTCTTGAGATAATTTTGTAAATGTTGACAAAATGTTTCTCTTTCTCTTTCTTGAATTTTTCGTTTGGGGAAACTTTTATTAGAAATACTGATTTTTCTTCCCATGCACAGAAACAATACCTTGTAATCCTGGAGTTCACTTTTTGCATGAATCTCTTTCTGAAATAAAATAATACAAAAAAGAAATGCTAATATTGGGAATAAACATGCCTAAACACAGTAAATACGATGTTTGCCTTTTCCAAGAAATATGACGCAATTAATAGCCCGTATAGGCCGTATTCCACCCTGCAACAAGTGTTTGTTTTTTTCCTCTACAAAAAATTTCATGGTCCCATTATCAGCAAGGAAATCCCCAGCATTGTGGGAAGAGTGTGCCAATAAATTGCAACTCAGTGTGTACAACTCAGATGCAGTATCTTATAATGACGTCAGTGTCTTGCATTTCCTTTCCTCTTGGGAGGGTAGATTTACTCAGCGCCATATTTCTTGGGCAAATGTACAAAAATGATAAAACTTGCCTGATCACCGCGGCGTCGGGTACATCCTGAACATATTTGACACGCACATCTGAAGAGTCGGTACACAGTCTTGAGTGATGGGATAAGGTTGAAGGGTGGCGGTAGGGTCGCTACGGGACGCAGGTAAGAGGCCCAGACAGCGGCACGGTGGAACTTCCACTCCGTATCGGCATTTTCCTGCAAAACAGTAAATTAGGATACATTTGAGAAGAAGAATAGGGAGGCTTAGTTGTTGCCGGTATATCGATCCGTATTCTGAAATTGTTTGTGAAGATTTTTGTCCATTTTGTTTGGAAGAGTCTATGTTCCCAAGATACTGACGCACGCCATTGTTTTTGACTGTGTGGTTTGATATTTCGTGTCGGTTCTTACCTCGGTGAGGTTGTAGGTATTGGATAGCATGCCGATGAGGGCGTTCAACAGCACGAGCACAGCAACGATCAGATAACAGACGTAGAGAAACGTACCCACGCCCTCTGCGACGGAATTCTTACCAGGCAGTTCAAGCACATCTATCTCAGTCAAGCCATACAGAGACCAGTAGAGATCTTGAACGCTACCCACGAACCTACATCAAGAGATGTCATTCAGAGATCAAAACTTGAGGGGGACACTTGAGACACTGTTTTAAACATGAGATGAGGCTACCTCAAAGAGACCAAAATCCTGAGGAGCGTCAGTCTGCACCAAGTACAACTCCACTTAGGAATTATCTCTCAAAAACTAGATACAGGAACGATCTTTTAATAAGAAATAGAGGTATCTCAGCTTGAAAAGACAACAAATTTCATTCCGGTATGCAAAACCGTAAATAAAAATCGAGCTTCTAGGAGGTCAGGAATATGAACCTCTCACTTATTTCTGAGCTAAGATGCTGAGGGATAATGAATCGCTACTCACGTCGAAAATCCAACAATCATGTGGCAACTATCAGAATCTCGTCCTTGCTCAATGCAGGCCCGCGTGGCCGTCTGACCAGCCGAGTAGAAGTTCTGAAACAGGCCGATGGCAAAGGCAAACCAAATGATCAGGAAGATGCCACAGAACTTGATGATGTCGTCCACCATCCCTCCAAGGGAGATGCGAAGCGGACCGACAGTGTCGCTGACCAGGAGAAGGTTTAGCAGGCGCAGGACGGACACGGTGATAGCCACGCCGAACAAGGCGCGGGCCACCACCGCCGGCTCGAACTGATCGAGTTCGATGGTCGCTCGCAGTGGGGGCGGCAGTGATGGTGGTGCGATGGAGATCAGGGGCCGGCACCCAGAGAGCACCTCCTCGATAGCTCCATTGATACCTTCAATGGAAGTGTCATTGAGCCTTCCCCTCAGAACATCAGTCACTTCTGCCACCTGATTCAGCAGGTCGGCATAGGTCTCGTTTCCGAGATTTGACTTGTTTGTCCAATCAGGCTCAAAGACACCCTCAGAGGTCTGAAAACAAACAAACATTTGGCAGAACATTTGTTTCAAACACGAGTCAATTAGGTGTTAGAAACAAGAGGACCTAAGTAAAGCAAAGAAAATGGAATTTTTTTTCCATACCGATCGCTTTACAACCTTAAAGTGTCCAACCATGTTACAAGAATAGTAGATGTCATCGATCGGGCACATATTGAAACCTTTAATGAGGAAATAAGTTGAGGTAATTTCTTGGAGACTTTACCTTCTCATAAATGTCTTTTATTCCAGTAAATGGGAGACTATAAATTTGACTCCCTGGAAAAATAAAATGGCTGATTCTCGTTGCGTTTGGGTTTCTGCCAACAAAGAAATTTCCATTTTCGGAGTTGTTGTGGCTGCCATAACCTTGCCAAAAATTATATTATCCCTGCCTGAGAGAACATAAACCGCATGCCTATAGCAAGCAGCACCGTGGATCGACACATGACAAGCACAGAACGTTCTTTGTAGTTTGGTTACGGTCTTGTGAAAAAGTTGTATTGATGTGTATTCTACGGATAGTTATTGGCAAACCAACAAAGCAATGCTAATGGTATTGTACTGAACTCATCGAAAAGCGACTTGATACTTCAGCTGAACTGCAAACCAATAAGGGTGTCAACTGAACCATATCGGTCGGCATACATTTAGTATGATGTTATTGTCCGCTGAGTTCAATGCATTGATGGTTTACAGTAGACCTTAAAATGAGTGTCGATTCACGGTTCCCATAAAGGAGGCAGGCGCACAGGACCAGCCACGAGGTTGGCGGCTGGTTAAAGGATTTTCAGTGAGTGAACAAAATATTTTTCTATTTTCACTAAGCTGATTTCCTGTTTTGAATAAATTTCAGAAATCTTACTTGGTTACGGCCAGCCAACTGCAGGCAGAACACCGCAATGCAAAGTCCTACGATGACAACTTCATAGAGATTGATACCGTCAGACAGATATTTCTGCGGTCCATGTTTCCGGATGACACTAAGATGTGACCATGCCAAACCTACGGAGTTGGTGACAAGGTCGTCAGTTGAAGAAAACAACAGGGATTTATGACACATCAGGGAACGTTTCCACTGTGTGTGTGCTTGGCCATGTTTATTGTAGTGACATATCCACTCATTTAATTTAAGTGTGGTGAAACTTAGACTTGAGTCTCGGAAGTCATGGCGATCAGTATTTTCGGACACCGAGAACTCGGCCAGTGACTTACCGAGGACCCAAATCAAAATGAGCAGGTACAGTGCCTCAACAGTCCGTGGGTACTCGTGCTGATTAGTGGCGTTTACTGTAACGATGAAGGCGAGGAACGTAAAGCCGGATCCGGCCTTCATCAACATCATGATGTATCTGCCGAGTGACGATGAAATTCATGACAGGGGGTTGAATACAGTAAGAGGGGTTAACCACTGGATTTTTCTGTCATTGCTTTTTTATCATTCATGTGGTTAGCATTATTGCTTAGTGCTACTGAATGACGCGCAAGATTAAGTGCACTTTGGTTCAGACAATGATTGGACAGTTTGAGATACCAATGCCATATACTTCAAAATAATGTAATTGCAAACAATGCAATTGAAACAGAATAGAAGGCCTGAAGGTGAAGCCAAAAAAGACGCACTTACGGAAGTCTTACAAAGGAAGTCACACTGCGCACGGGCACAAAGATGTAGAGGAAGCATATGATGGGATAGCCGAAGAGGACAAACAGCGTCAGAAGGATCTGATAGAAGATTCCTCGCTCGTTCCAATCAAGAAGATTCCTGTAGAACTGCACGATGATGGCCTTCTGGGAATGGGGGTGGGCTATGAACTATAGGATGGTTAAAAAAGAGCCGGAGGATTAGTGAGTCGACAACTGTTCATCAGCAACACGAAAGTAAGCAAATTTAGTCACTTAGTTTGCTTGCAACTTCAAACCTTGCGAAGGAATTTGAAAACATCTTCAATAATCCATCCATTTACAGCTCGTTGATTTTAAAATCGTGCGTCCTGGGTTCTTTCAACCCAGTGAGAAAGCATTTTTAAATAAGAACTGGAAATGAGGACATGCCCGTTGAGATCTTGTTCCACCTACCTCTTTCTGCTTGTAGTCGATGGCCTCAAACAATTTGGCAAGGGGGTGTTGCTTACCCTCTTCGTCACGGTACTTGTCCGTGTCGTGATACCGGAACAGGGCTAAAATCTGGCTCACCAAAGACACAACAACATATTGATGGCCTAAATGTTTGAATGGATGGAAGATGACCATGAAAAATACAGTTACATGTAGACCTACAGTTCTAGTTTGGTTTGTTTGGGCATGGTTATTTCGTAAGAAATGTTTCAAATAAACACTACGAATATTGACTGTGTAGTGCTAGGGCTGATACCAAATTCTGCTCTGGTTTCTACCTCTTTGGTTGAAGCTGATTCTCCAAGCATCTCTCCTGCGAAGACTTCCACGCCGCGCGCCATCTGCTCGTACTCGGCCCCGAAGTCCTCCCACGTGCGGCTCAACGTCTTGAGTTTGGCGCTCAGCTGGAAGGCGTGGCCAAAGATGTCCGTCTGGGTGGCCAGGATGTAGGCGGGCTGTGAGAGGGCGCGGTAGATGTGTAAGGTGGAGATAGCCTGGGTCAAGGTCACGTCACCGCCTTGAGACATCGAGGGCTCGGTGATGCTAGCGCCAAGGTCCAGAAGCATCTTCAAATCAAAAAATATCATCCAATATGTAACGTTCCTAAGGAGCTTTACTCCACCACAATTTCATGACATGTGTGGCCTATAAAACCAATGGGCTGAACACAATTCGACAAGAACCACTCGTGAGCACTGAATTTTGTAATGGAATTTCGGCCAGTGATCTCTTTACGCCCTTGCTTGGTAAATAGTCAGGATTATATGCCCCAACGCTTATTATGAGTGCCTGATTTGCACTTCAGAAATCACGTCACTGGCCAGGTTTATAAGTGCTGACAAATTCAGCAATAAGCAGAGCAATTTCGAGGCTAAGAGGGTTCCAAAACTCATATTTCCTATTACTCATGTTCGGAGAATCTTATTTACTAAAAACAGGCAGAAAATACAGATCTTCTGATTACCTTGACCGTTGCAAAGTTATTTCTCTGCGCTGCCTGAATCACGGGTGTTATGGCTGGGTGGAAATCGTCATTGTCAGAATGACAGTTCAGAACTGATTCCAGAATATCCTTGACAAGATAGACCAATGAGAGTTCCATGAAGCAAGGAGTTGCCATTAGCGTAATTCTTTACGTTTAGCTTGCGCTAAAAGTCAATAATGCCAAGAGCGACTGGTTCAACAGTCTAAGAGCTTCACTTGGCTCAAAGCGAGTTTCTAGTACTTTGTTTCGCAATGTGTGAAACGAAGGGTCTAGGGACCCTAGAAGAATGTCCTTTTCGGTGGTATTCCTGGCATCCAGATAAGAAAAAAAAATCAAATTCTCGTACACCTCACTGCAGCAATGGAATTTGCGAATTTTGTTACTTCCCACCGAATGGAATGGCATTGAGCGTACATGTAGGGCCTAGGTCGACTGGCCCAAACCGTGGTAAAGGAGATGATTTTGAAGTTCAACAGGGTTACCGACATTACCAGCCGAGTGAATATTTTGTCACTCTTTAACTCAATCGGGCCAAATACTTCCACGGCATTGTGATTGTATAATGTTAAAAAAATGTTTACAGCGCAATAACTCCAATTGCGATGCAAAATAAATACCTGTACACGTCACTTGTACGTCGCTTGTAGGGCAGCCACTTGTTCTTTGTTGACATTCTTTTGGTTTGGTTTCATTGAGTTGTCAACCTGACTTTGGTCACTTTCATGACCATAACATTCAGTTGCATTTTCATCTACCAAGTTATCCGACAATTGTGCAAAGTTTGATCAAACTTGGAAAAGCTCATTATGAACACCATTATTGGAGACTTAGTAAGGGTTTTAGGTTGAAGTTCTTGTAAACCGGAGGAGTTTGTTTGCTTCCTTTTCTCTTAGAGATGAGAATCTTCAAATGTTACGGATTTGATTTCATTGCGGACGATGAAAATCCTTCCCTTTGTGAATCCAAAGTGTCACAATCCACAATTGTATTAAACTTGTACTCTTGGATGTTTTGATTTTAGCGGCGGGAAAAAAGTTATCATCAAGCAAGTCTTTTTCAAGAAGCAGGTTCCCACCTCTTGAATTTGTACATAGCAGCAAATCGCCTTGACCGCCTCTTCAAACTCCACGTCGATGGCTCGAATCAGGGCATCTCCAAGAGGAATGTCGTACTTCAGGAGAATATTGACGACATCTGCAAATGAAATAAACAAAAGATGAAGGATGGTTCCAAAGCAGACATAGCGTGGCATGGAGAAAGCAGGTGAGGATCCAGAGGGGGACCCAAGAAATAATGAACTAACAGTTGTTTTTAATAATGATTAGGATAACATCTTACTATAGGATGGAGTTAAGCGCATTAGTAAAAGTGTAATGAAAAACCTATATGTCCACTTGCTCGCAGCAATGGGGCATACCTAAAACCAGACTGGCCATAGGCCTATTCCCTGGAAAACTTTCTGACTCAAGAACATTGCTCTAAATATTTCTGCTATCCATGCTGTTGCACAGAAAAAGAATCATATTTTCTGTTCTTCTTAGGATAAATAAATCCGAGTTTCTCAGAAGTGCACACTCTTGCGTGCTATTCAAGTAAATTGTCCAACTTCTTCAAATGTACGTCACGCAAAAGGGGAAACCAAAGAATAAACTGCTTTAGGTTTTTTGGGGATAACCCCCACAATTAGGCGAAAACGGGAAACTCTTAAACCTATCACACGGTTCATTTCACAAGCAGTCCATGACCGTCCCACCCTGTATACATGTACTTTGTCTGAGGTCAGACTTCAAACTAAACCAACCTCAGGGGCAGAATATTGTACCGTTCGGTCACCTCATAATACCTGTATACTAGCAAGCTTTTCAGTAATTGTAATGGACTTCTATTCATATGTGTCATTGTTTCCGGTCGTTGCGGTCAGCATTTTTGAAATGCAAACTTCTACCTACTGCTATCTTGATCGATTCTGATACAGCGGCAAGTTTGCACTTTTCCTGACTTGTTTTCTTCAAAGGCTCATTGGGAAATTGAATTTTCCTTTTTTTTACCAAGTATAATTGCAAAAAGGTATCCCTAACGATGGACCGTCCCGCATCTGGATTGTTTTGGAAGAAGTAGAAACGAAGATGAACGGAAACACACCAAAACAACGTATTTTCGAAGTACAAACTTTACACAATGAAAGCAATTACACAGGCCTTCATAGCTAACTATGGTATTGCAAACAGGCTTAGGCTCAAAAATCGTCATATTCTAGAAGACCCTTGTCCAGCCTAGCTACAAAACGTATCATGCCTCTTTACCTTTGGTTGAGCCGTTGACCCTGATTTCCTAAAGGTAGTTCCGAAGGCTTGAACAACTCAATAGATTATGTACAGGCTTCAGTCAGGAACGCTTACTTGAAATCATCAGTCATGGGTCCAACAAAGGGGAATTGAAACGATTTTCATTTTCAAGACCAACAACTTGCACACTTTAAAACCTCCCAGCTGTTTGTTTAATAGAATCGTGGATTTTAAGAACATATAACGATCAAAATGGTGTTGCACTGTGCAGAGCGGCATCCGCAGCAAGAATAAAATGAACCAGAATATATCAAAAAACGAAACAACCCACGGCATGTAACTTACCGATGTAGCCATCCGTGATGGCATCAGTATACAAGGTCAGGTTTTCCTCGTTTCGCCAGTCCCTCAACAAGCCTGCCTCCTGCCACTGGCCAAGCATTTCATTAAGTCGTATAGCATTCCCCATGCCAATCGTGGCCCTCACCAGGTCATACCTGGCGGATTCATCTTCATACTCAACTCCCAGGAAACACAGGAACGAGGAGTCATCTAGAGCTACGGTGGCAGTGCTGGACTCGCCGTTCTCCTGGAGAGCCTCCTTCGGACCATAATCTCCCGCATTCCGCTTCTCCAAAGCCTCCAGCTCGTAACTTTCCGCATCCATGGACGATGGCGGTTGTTTCAACGCGTGTGACATACAGGTGGGAAGCTACAACAAAACTCTACTCACATGGAAGCGTCAGGTCTGTCCACAGCTCACGAACTTTCAACAGACCGTGTACATATGTACCTCCTTGTTACGGAACAAGACACACCGATAATTGGATCGGCCAACACCGTACTGCCCACGCAAGATCACGGCTACGTTCGAGCTCAGTGTCTAAAGCTAGGTCTTAGTTCGTCGTAAATACACGTACGTGAGCAAATGCTAACAACAGACGTAGCCCATTTCCAAAAATATTCACAATACGTATTGTCAAACTGCAAGGTCGAGGCCGCTCAACCAACCTCAACCATTAGTTATTCCCCCAATCTAGTGTCGGTTATTTTCACACTGTTGGGCGCGATTAGTGCAATAGTTTGGGCAGTCTGGTCTAGTATAAAGGACACTAAAGATTTGGTTCATGCTGTGCCCAGGGGACCTAGTGGGAATGATTCCTCTTCATGTCAGATCAGCAGTAATAATTCAGCAATCTCTCCCATCCAGTCGGAGAAGTACGCTGCTTGTATGTAAAAATTAATTTTCAGCACAATGCGTTATATTTCATTCGTCAATCAAAATCTAGCACCCGGCCAAATTAAGCCCACTGAGATACACGAAGTTTATTATAGTACCTCGTCATTCTGTAAACAAAGGACTACATAGTTTCTAACCCAAATGTGTTCCATTTTCATTATTTGTTCACTGGAGGATAACAGTTAAAGACAGAAAATATTTAGATATATGTACTCGATCATCCCTTAGTATCCGCTATCCTATCACTTTTAATAGCCCAAAACAAAGATATATGAACCCCAAACCATAAAGTAACTGTTTAAATGTCTGCATAGCAACTAAGCAACAAACTTCAGTCTGTAAATATACTTCAAACTTCACAAGCATGGCTTAAATTAGACGTATAAGCACTGATAAAGTATCATACATATATCCATGAATTGATCAATATCGAAAAGCTATTGTCATACTCTGGGTGATAGTACATTAAATGTTTAATGGAATATGAGAAGAAAATATGGTGCAACTTTATTACTACCGTCCTCAGAAATTTCGGAGATAACAGCATTATTTCACAATTCATTTGACAGCCTTATTTTTTCATTCAGAACTGAAGTCACAATGATTCGTGAGATCACATAAGCAGTAAACATCTACTAAATCAAGACCCGAGTTCCCCCAAAACATGCGTAATAGAATAGTATCTTTAAATAAAACATCATTTTGAGCTAGGTACATGTACATATCTTTATTGAGCTCAAAGCTGAGAAAAAACCCAAAGGGAAAGGCAGAGTTCTATGAGGTTTCTCAGTTTCATGAAAACTGCAAATTGTCCTCAGCTTGACTTTTTTCTTTTCTTCTTAGTTTCTGAATCAATCCCACGTGGCATCTGCTCGGTTAACACTCACATAGCTTTCTTTTCCGAGGATAGTGTCTAAAATTGTCTGGGGTGAGCACCATAATGTATTGTAACGTCAGGCACATACATGTATATTAATTTACCTGAGTTTCTTATTTGCCAAAGTTACCCATTCGCCCTATCAGTTGGTGCTGACATCCAAAGACCTGAGTATATATATCATTAAGAAATTTAGGGATAATTTCATGACTACAAAGAATTTTGTTTCAATTCCTTTCACAAGTTATTAATTTGCATGTATACAAGGAAACAAAATATATCGATGTACATGTATTTACGTAAAAAGTCATTTGAATGATATTTTGAACGAACAAAATACGCATCAGATCAGTGTGCTTACTGGAAAAAGTCCAGAGAGAAGACAGTCTTAAGAAGCCTTCCTCCCTCCTCAAGAATGTCTGAAAATTTAATTCACACGCTTTCCCATGCAGTATGATGTTTTTCATCTGAGTACGCACACACCAAGAAGTTGGTGTGTGCATTACAAAATTCTTTTGACGTAATGACATGTATATTCTCTTGTACAAGTGATATGTACAGTGCATGTATATGCGTTAGAAAGCAGACATGTATTTCAATGGTTACTTATAATTGCCAGATCACCGGTTTTTCTTCAGAATCAAGTTCTTCTGATTTATATATCACATCGGGCTCCCCTCCCAGTTCTTCTAGTTCTTGTTGCGGTTCTTTCGTCAAATCCGAATTCTGCGTAGACTCCAAAGCCCTCTTCTTGTCAGTTCCTTCACTTACTTTTGGTTCGTCGACTGGTGGTGGTGGCGGCATATCTATCTCCTCGAAAGGAGACCCTGATTCTCTTGCCAATGCGCCGACAATCTGCTTGGGTTCACTTCCTCTCTCAGGTGTCTTGGAATCCACGTCCCACCCTGGTTCTTGAGTTGACTTCGCCTTCTGTTGAGTTCTTATGAACTGATGATAAAGGGCGTTGGGGTCTGGTGACAAGTCTTGTTCTTCGGCTGGCGTGATGTCAGGCTCTGACATCGACTCCCTGTGGGGTTTTTGGTGAGGGTCTAGTAAGGTTTCCCGGGATTCTGCATCGTCTTTTTCAGAGTAGGAGTCCAGAGATGGTGGCAACGATATCTCTTCAAACGATGAGTCTTCTTCTCTGGATCTTTCGGCAAACCGCTTCGGTTTAGTCCCTTTCTTGGATGTCTTGGCATCTATATCCATCCCGGATTCTTGGGTTGACTCCAACTTCCGTTTGGGTATCCCGACCCCTGTGGGATCTGAATATGACGGTGTTTCTTTTTCTTCTTTTACAGGGGCCAACTCCACTTCTTCCACTGTTTCTTCTGTCTTCATCTCCTCAACTTCTGTCGGTAGATCCTTTGGTTCTAGAGGCGTTTCCTTGAGATCTGTACTGACCTCTACACCAGCCAGCGATTCAGACTGCTCTTCTGGGATATCGGGCTGCTTGGGTATAGTGTCTGCATCAGGTAGTGTGGAGGTTTCCTCGGAGAATTTGGTATTTTCTTCAGTTCCAAGGACTGATTTGTGATCCCTTTCAGCCTGTGACTCTCGCCCTACGCTTCCTGGCTGTTCTTGTATGTCTTGAGCCGTTCCTAATATTGTCTCACTGCATTGGTCCAGTGCCTGCTCTTCGTTTGGTCCGAAGGGCATTTGTTCGGGTTTAGATTTTAGTTCCCGAGTTGGAATTGACTTTTGATATGTTGTGTCTTGTGTATCAAGTGACTCTTTCATTGGTGGGTCGGCTGTCGTAACTGATGGCGATGGAGGCAGTATTTTGGACACTTCCCCTGACTTCTCTGCCTTCTTTCTTCCTGATTCGGTCCAATCTTCCTGTTTTCCCACTGCTTGTTGCTCCTCGCCCGTTTCAGACCTCAGCCCCTCACCCATTTTCTTCTCCGTTGATAAAGTGTCGTCTTCTGATATGGAAGCTGTCTCTGTTTCTTTTGCCACACCGTCTTCTGACGCATCACCCTGCAAATTAAGAGAATTTATTTAGATATGTTTAGTACATCGAATACTGCTATACAGGAAAATAAAACGCAGACGTTAATTCGTCTGATTGGAGGATTGGTCAAGACAAATCTCCAATTTTATCTCTATCCAAATTTATTCAAATCGGGATCGAAGCACTTTTCTAACATGTTTGTGCAAAACTGTGTAAAGTCACCAGAACGGATAGTAATGATTTAACCATTCAAAGAATGCCGCACAAGCAATACAAAGCCTGTGAAGCTCTTTTCAATAACTGAGATTTTTTTTAAAGTCAATGCTATTTGTAGATTCTGAAACCACACCATCTCGGGTACAGGCTTGTTTCTAAAACAACCTCCTCCCCTATTTCAGTTTTAGGAGGAGCTTTCCGGAATATACTAAGAATGGATCTACACTTACCATGGTTTCATTTATTTTCTTTTCGACCATTTGAACAATTCTTCGGATAAATCCAACCCGCTGTGGTTGTTCCTGCTCTGGTTCCTCGGGCTGCTCCTCGGGCTGCTCCTCGGTAGGTTCTGGTATCTCAAGCTTGAGTTTGTCTGTCTCCTCCAATAACATGCCCACCGTGTTGATCAGCTCGGCCTTGTCTCGTCGCAGCGTCTGGCAGTCGTCCGCCAGCTTAGCCTTTTCCTCTTCCAGCTTCCTGATGATGCCGGTCAGCTGGGACCTTTGGCGTTCCCGCACCGCCAACTCGGCGGCGTGGTCGACTACAAGCTGCTGAGCTTCTGCCTGGAGAGTGGCTATCTTGGCGCGCAGCTCCGCAGCTTCCTCATCTCTGGAGACAATCTCTCCCGCCTGCTCCTCCATTAGGTTGTCGCTCGCCTGTATGAGTTGGGCACAGTTGTCCTTCAGTTCAACAGCCTGCTGAACTACCTCTGAGCTCTTGTCACTTAGTGGGTCAAGGTCCTCCAGCTTGTGACTCAGGTCTGACGACTTTAAGTTCGACAGATCAAGCATTTTGTTCAGAGATTCAAGACGGTCTTGCGTATAGAACCTGAACAATTGAAGACAAGCAAGCCATAATCTTTATGCACTGCAACCTTGTACGTATATAATTGTCATTATTTTAGCCTGATCCGTTTCATAGATATAAATGAAATGCAAGCACTTCATATATCTGTTACAATTACACCAATTGTAACATCCAAATGGCAGAAACTTGGAAATAGGATACAGATCTTAAGAAAAAATTACATCATTCCGCTATAACTATCCTTCTCAAAAATAAAATTATCAGAGTTTGCTTTTGCTGTTGTGTGGTCTGTATAATTGAAATTCTGGTCAAGTGACGTGACGGTCTTACCTGAATGTCATGACGTCATTCCTCAATGCTTGTATATCACGTGGTCGAACCTCCTCCGAGTTGCTCGAGGTCGCGGACAGATGGTCTTGAACGTACCGGTCACGTGTCAGTTTCAACACTCGCTACAGAGTGCGAGAAAAGCAGCCAGTGTTGTTACTGTAAGTCAACATTACTCACATCAAATATTTTTCAGGCTTAATATAGCTCGCTACCCATGCTCTGCTTTATGAAAATTACTTATGAGAGAAATTCTGCATATTTACCACGTAAGCAGCAAATTCTTTTTTGGAGTACCGTTCTCTCTGAAAAAAAATGAAATGGGTTCATTTGATTTACTACAATATGGAGCACTTTCGGAAACCAAAGAAGTTTTTTTTTCAGCACAAATTAAAGAGTCAACAATATTCTAGTCATTTAATACCGCAGGCACTCAGAAACCAAAAGATGAAAGACATACCCGATTGACTGATTTCCGTTTGGCGCATTTCAGCCATATCCCTAAAATATACCGACATAAGCGGATAAGGCTTTTCACGGACGGGATGAGGTTGAAGGGAGGTGGGAGAGTCCCTACTGGGCGCAGGTAGGAGGCCCAGACAGCGGTACGGTGAAACTTCCACTCCGTATCGGCATTTTCCTGTATATAAAAGGTAGACATTTGACAGAAATTGTCACTCCTCGTTCTTTTCACCTTTCTTCTCCCCAAACGATGTGCTGGTGAGTTGTTACAAAGAAGTGTCATTATAGTAAAATGTAGTCAATATTGATGGTTAGTTGAAGCTCCAATGAGTTAAGCCAGTGCAACACATCAATAGGAATTTAACCTTTTTGAAATCTCAGAATTTTCAGTCACAAAGCTACGATTGGACTGTCAAATCAATGAATCAAACTGTCACTGGCTAGTAGTTTTAAAATGCCAATGGTTGCTACTCCCTCGATCCGGGCCGCACTACGTTTATTTTGCACTTACCTCAGTGATATTGTACGTGTTTGACAACATGCCAATGAGGGCGTTCAACATGACAAGCACGACCATGATGTGGTACATGACGAACATGAACGTGCCAACAACCTCAGCCACAGAATGTTTACTTGAGAGCATCAGAACATCCAATTCAATCATTCCAAAGAGCGACCAGTACAGGCTCGAGATTGCATCGAGGAATCTGTCAGTATCACAATCGAAAAATTAATCGGTTTTTCGCGAAATTCAGGATTTAGCGCGAATAGATTTTTTTTTCTTTTCGGCAAAACAGTCCAAACTATAGACATTCAGATGGAGAAGTTCGGATTGGACCGTTTTTCATAGCAATTTCTTTTGTCTAATGAACTGTCCCTACCGTGTCGTTCAGGCTCAATTTAGGAGCAAGGCGTAGGCCTATGTCTTTTACCATGCCAAGCCTGCGGTAATTATTGAATCAACCTGCTTTACACATAATGCAAATACTTATGAAGAGCTTAAGTATTTATTCAAGTAGTTTTACTAACGATTGCTTGTGTGTAAGTAAAGACGCATTTCGGGTAGTCCCCATGTCAATTTTCATGCTGAATGAGACTTTGTTGGAAGGGAATCAACATGGTCAGCTTGGCAATGTCGTAGTTTTAATACACATTTTGATATAAAGACGTCTTGAAATGCTTTGGAAAGGAGCTCAAATCATAACGTGTATGTCACAAACATTTGGTCGTGTTTTGGGCAATTTACTTACGTTTCAAATCCGGTCAAGAAGGAGCAATCGTCCGCAGTGCCGCCTCCCTCGAAACATTCTCGGAGTACTGACTGACCAGCGGAATAATAGTTGGTATATAGACCAATGGCAAAAGCAAGCCAGATAACCACAAACAAGACGCAGAACTTGACGATATCTTGCCTCATGGCGCCCAGAGAGATGCGCAGTGGGCCGACTGAGTCAATGATCAATAGAAGATTCATCAGACGGAGGAAGGCAAGGACCACGGTGACGGCAAACAACGCATGCGACACAACGACGGGCTCGAATTGGTCGTAGCTGATGGTCTCTTGCAGGAAACCTGGTAGGGATGGCCCGTCGTCGGCCGGCGGGCCCGCCTCGGCGGCAAACACGGGGCTACAGTTGGACAGCACACGGGTCAGGACGCTACCGACTCCCTCTACGACGCTGGTATTGAGCCTTTCTTCAAAGCTGGACAGGACCGACTCAACGCGGTCCTGCACATCCGAGTAGCTGGTGAAATCGCCGCTGGACCGACGTATTATCACGTTCGATATTATCTGCAAACCAAACCAAAACGAAATCAATTCCAATCTCTTACCGACAAATGAATGCATTTAAACAGCAAATATTTCAGAAAGGAAATCAGGTAACAATCTCACATTGACTTGGCCGTTCCATTGAATGAAGAACACAGTGACGTAACAGGCTATGATGATCGCTTCCAGAATGTGACCACTTCCGGCTAGATACTCCTCGAATCCATGCATCATTATTTTCTTTATGTGCCTCCATGCCAGACCTAACGAGTAACCCAGAGGATAGAAGGGGAATAGTTATGTGGCTTTAAATAATGCACATCCCCATAAAGATCCCTTACAGAAATGGGGACTGGCTGCAAACTGTAACTTATACCGAGTGTACTCTTTGACGTGAATACAAGTTGTATGTGGTGATACAAGGACATGCGCAGTGAAAGTCATTCTGTTGAGACCAATATCTTACAACATTTCCAGTCTCTAATTTGGGCATAAAAGACCGCTAAATGATGCTTGAAACCAGACACAACGCCACAAAAATTGAATCCACGATTCGCAAAATACACGTCGAACTGATTCTTACCGATTACCCAAATGAAGATGAGTGCATACAGTGCACTTGCACTTTGGGGGTATTTGGTCTCACTAACCACAGTGGCCGCTATGATAAGAGCAAGGAAGGTGAAGGTTGACCCTGTGTTCATCAGTAGCATGACGTAACTAGAGAGAGAAGCTAGAAGTGGTTAAACTTTAACATTTAATGCAGATTAAATTAATCCAACATTCTTTAATTTTTTTAAGGTAAGCTGAGCGTAGCCTGGAGATGTTGCACGGATCAGAAGTCTTTCCTATTGTTTCACCACGAAAGCTAATGATACTTACGGTAGCCTGGCAAATCTCACAACTTTGCGGGCGGGAAATAAGATGTAGAGCAAGCAAATGATGGGATAGCCCAGGAGACCAATAAGCATCAGGAGTAACTGGTACAGAAACCCCTGCTCGTTCCAACTCAGCAGGTTCTTGTAGAACTGCGTGATGATAGCCTTCTGGGAATGAGGATGTGCTACAAACTGAGAGAAATACATGTACATGGACATACATGTCAGGACGTGACTGAGGAGAAATGATATAATGAGGTGTCATGTTCTGTGCCATGGCAATCTCCACGGCATCTCGAGGTGTCAAGTGAATCTGCGCCTTGCTAATGCTGATGCGGCCAAAATGTTAACCGCTGTCGCTGTCTGGCATTTTACGGCCAGCATCCTCTCCGTTGGGGTAAGATGCTCTATTTCCACTTTTCTGTAACTGCTACTAGTCACAGTGTGCTCTCGCAATCACAAGTTAAGTTTTGTTACATGGAAATCGTTCGTGTTGTCTTTTTGGTCATGCAACTCGTACCATGAACGCAAGCAAACACCTGCATGTAAATCCACTCAGCGGCACTGCGCTCTGCATCGTTCCACGCAGTCTGTAATCAGCGCGGGTACATCTCTGTTAGATCGAAATTCAAAGTCACGCGATGGGCTTGTCACATCATTAACCACGTTTGAAATCAGTCTGCAAGAGCCAATCTGGCTCTCGATAATAACCGCCTTGTTGTTTTTGAAGTTTCCATTTGTTTATGTACCTCTTTCTGCTGGTACGCAATTGCCTCGAACATCTTAGACAACTGATGCTGTTTTCCGGTGTTATCTCTATACTTGTCGGTGTTGTGGTATCCAAACACTGATAAGATCTACAACAGACAGTTCAAGTATATCGAGCATGAGTGCAAGACAGGGCGGGGTTTGAGAGGTAGGCTCAATATTTGGAATTTCTGACTGGTCATTTTAGACGAGAATTGCACATACGTGGGATGAGGGTAGGTGGTCGTTTGTGTAGCGAATGTAAGGTTGTAACTATGACGTGCAAGTTATAGAACAAGTTATTGTTGGCTGCCATAAATTCAAATTTAAACTCTTTGGAAAGTTGGAGGATAAACACACTTTCTCGCATTATAGGGAGGGTCAGTAAACTTGTGGACATATTGCAAATTCCATACGGTATAGGGGTCTACACTTCTTGAGGGACGCAAAAGGCTAGGATTAAGCCTACCTCTCCGCTCGAGGCCAACTTCCCCAGCATCACTCCGGCAAAGACTTCGACACGCCGGGCCATTTGCTGCAGCTCTTCCCCAAAGTCCGTCCAGGCAAGGCTCAGAGACTGGAGTTTGGCCGTCATGGCGAAGGCATAGCCGAACACGTCCGTCTGGGTGGCCAGGATGTAGGCAGGCTGGGAGAGGGCGCGGTAGAGGTGCAGGGTGGATATGGCCTGAGTCAGGGTCACCTCGCCGCCCAGGGATATCGTGGGCTCGTGGATCTCGGCTCCAAGATCCAAGAGCAGCTGGTGATAGGGAAATGGATCGCAGGATGAACGCAAATAGGGAAATTTGAAGGGCCTTTAAAGGAATATTGGAGTGTGCAATAGTTGATCAGGTAATGCGATATAAGATTCGCCAGTTCGAATGACAGTTTGCTTGTTGGAGAAAGCTTTTGAAGTATGTATGCGCAAACGAACGTGCAAAAGGTAAAGGGCATCTTAAGACCATTAAAATGTAAGAGGATCACATGTGAAAAAACCCATGTGTGCGTCGCGTTGCTGCGTCGCAGGGAACGACAGAAAAGAAAAATGGCGACATGTCCAAAGAATTCTGGTGCAACAACGAAAATTGGATGAGACTGTACATAAGGTGGAAAATGTACCATGACAATGTTGTAGCTGTTCTTCTGTGCAGCCAACACCAAAGGCGTCAGAGCAGGATGGAAATCATCGTTATCACAGGAAGCAGCCAGAACCTCTCTGCAGATATCCTATTCGGTTAGATGTACAGAAAAAACAGACTGTAGTCACGCATCGGCAATGCATTTTGAATTGAAAAAGAGTTTAAGTTTTCATTTTCGGAACCCAAGAGTAAAACAAATACCAACAAAATGAAAGTTTGCCAGAAAGTAATGCCACTTTACATTTAGAATATTTAAAATTGAGATAATTCACTACTCGAAAAAGCTATGTACCACTTTTTATCTTGTGTATACTTTTTATTTGAGATATTTTACTGCTGAAAATTTGCATTTGAAGTTTGAAACATCTGTTATTTTTTATTCCAATCAGAACACCATCTAGACAAACAAAAAATGAAAGAACTAGATCCCACTCATTGCTTGGAAAAAATTTACTAATTAAGAAAAAAGTGGTCCTCAACTTTTTTCGAGTATCGTAAGTATCTAAATGCATTACGTCATCATTTTTCTGCACTTGACCATCAAGAGGGTTGTGGTGACCTCCAGACACCCCTATCAATTAGAGCAAGGGGATACGCCAGTATTACACCACATTTGAAAAAAAATAAAATAGTCTGGCTTGAACCCCCTCTCGCACTGTACGCATGGTGTACGCAACGGCACCAACACCCTTTCGTGCCTACATACTTTATGGACGGCCTCTTATGAATCTTATATCCGTGAGTTTTTTTGGGTTTTTTTTGACAAATTGTTATATAATAACCAAACTTAAACAAAGAATAAAACAAAATCAAAACTAACCAAAGCAAAAGCGAGTCCAATCCGAAGCTAACCTGACAAACCAGTCTTACCTCGTTTGTTGACAAGTATTGACATATTGCTTTGACTGCGTCCTCGTATTCCACGTCAATTGCACGAATCAGGGCATCTCCAAGTGGTATTTCGTACTTCAGTAACGTAATGATGACATCTGTGAAGAGAGAGAGTAAGAATTCAAGCAAGTATCATGCTACAAAATACAGAGGCAAATCTTTTGGTTAGTTTAAATCTTTTCTTCAAGTTCTTTATTTTCCAAGAGTGATTAAGAAATGCAAATTGCTAAACAGATTAATTTCAATGATATTTCGATGTCAGATAGCACAGGTCAGGTGTAACAGAGACACAAACATGTCTTTTGGACGCCACTTTTTTAGAATGAGCCATCCACTGGAAGTACATGTACCTTGGATGAGGTCGCTGAATTTACTTTCTATTAATTTAAGCCTCGGGATTTTGCAATGAAGTTCATAAACTGCATATTGCTCGGGATTTTACTTTCTATGGTTGTGAAAAGGGGTTTTAGAGCCTTCTTGTTTCATCACACACGTCCAAACTTTGGAGGGAAAACCTACAAAAACTGTACAGTAGACGAGTGCATTTTGAAAAGACTCAAATCTCCGGCCATCCTTTACCTTTCTTGCAGATTAACGTTTTCATTACAACTGCTCACCCGTGATTTGTGTGACGTAACCATACTATTTACTGATGCCCACAGCAACCCATCTTTTAGCAAGAATACATTGAAGCAGTCAGGCATAACGATCTTCTCTAAGGCTTGTGCATGTGCATTGAAAGACTTCAAGCTGAATAATGAACTGCACTCACCAAGATCCCAACAAGCTGAAACAAGTTTTAATTTACCCCTTCATACCGGGAGCCGTCCACAGCCGCGGCTTTAGGATGAGGATTAGGATTAGTGCATACCACACATATAGTCTATCAACACAAACAAAATTCCCCCAATAGCACACGCCTTATGGGCTACCTTCGATATTTTCACTGCTAAATTTAACTTTTAATAAACATGTTTAACTTTTTGGGCTGATATACAACTTTGGAAAAAATATAAGTGGTGTCAGTGTATGGAACTCTATCCATCTCTTGTTAGTACATGTACATGTGCCTTTTTCTTTTCCCTTTTCTATTTTTGCCATGCATAGTTTCTAGGGGAGGGTTAATGTCCTGCCTCCTTTTTACCCTCTATTTTTATTTAAACTTAGCTTACCCAGGAAGGAATCTGTAATGGGGTTAGCATACAACGTCAAGTTCTCCTCGTCCCGCCAATCTCGCAGCCAACCTCTCTCCTTCCACTCTTCCAGCAACGCGTTCAGTTTCTGTCCGTTGCCCGTCTCGACCATCCCTTTCACCTCCTCGTAGCGGTCCATCTCCTCGCTAAGGCACACCTCACCCGGCGGTGTCAGATCCCCCATACTCCCGTCCGGCTTCCTGCTGAAGACACTCCGGTTCGTCTTAGGGCTGCCTTTCTCCATAACTTCAAATTCGAACGCCTCGTCCATCTTGGCAACGCTGTTTTTTACTTTCTTTTATACGATTACAGTCGGATTCTAGACAGATCGAGACATCAAAGTATGAATTACTTCTCGATGTCGTCAGCAGTACACATTTCTCCAAGTTGCAAGAAGGTACAAACCAAATTCAGAATGTAACAACACTTCTGGTCGATTGCAAATCACAAAATCTCAGAGATAACCACGATTAAGGTGCGGTTGCCTGGAAGGCCAAGAAACTAAGCACCGAGCAAGACACCACAAAAGCCCGGATGGCACAGCTGCACAATGAAAGAGCTCGGTACAATACTAGTCTCTACGGTTGGCTGACTTATCTTAGGAAGGTCTTAGAAAGAGAATAAAAGAATGATTGCGTCAAAGTAAAGAGCCAGCTGCCAACCAGCCATTGGTGGCCTTTGCATTTCTGGACTTCTGCAATACAAAGGCCATATCTTTATACGCAACAGAGGCGCCAGGATTTGTTTCATTGACAGGGAAGTATGCAGCTAACTGATAAGTTGAAAGTGGTCAATTCCGCGGTATTTTCGAGCAAATTTGTGTTTTCAAATCCCTCCAAATGCATGAACTCCATTCTTCAACTTCAAACAAAACAATTGCACTTTCTCAAAGTTCGGCTGCAAACAGGTTTGGGCTTTGTATTTAGCCCCGGAACACTGTGCGGGGTCCCTCATGTTTGAACTAACCGGACTGCTACCGATTAAGGGCTCCTACTGATATTCCTATGGTACAGTCCACTAATTCAAGCCCCATTGAAAACGGTGTCAAATCACCATTCTTCAGAGCTCAATAACATGCAAGCCAACATCCCTGGGGTGTCTCACACAAAAATTTAATTATTACTCGGTCACTAATCTTTCAGTTTCTTTTCAATTTTCGGGGGGTATACCAATTACATTTTTAATTATTCACCCAAAACAAAAACACTTTCAGAAATGGCCAACGATCTTTTGACTAATTGGAGGCGCCTGCGATGTCGTTTACGTGCCGTCGTCATCAAGCTACGCTCTAAAGTGACCACTCCGTGACAAGAACGAGTTGTGCGTAAGTCTTATGTATTTCACTGCTTCTCACAGTGTGGTGATGGGGGGTCAAAATAAGAATTTGTCTTTTTTCTAACTTCCTGTGATTTCTTTTCCCATCCAATTCTAAAGTTTTTGGCTCAACATGAAGTCATATTTTGGTAGACGCCTAAAAGGCCATGTTGTCGTCACAAAGATGAAGTAAATTTTCATTTAGTGTTGACATCTTTATCGAAAATCCCACTCGGGTTTGATAGATTCACACAGAGACGTAGCCGAGTTGGAAACCTCAGCAATAAACTACCAACGATACGACACAACTACGTGGAAATATGTTGGGAACATTTTGTTGGGGAAACAATTATCGTTAGATTAAATCGTTACGGAGAAAGTAATTAATCGTAACGTTTACCCACAGTTGGCGAAAAGGATTTAATTCTCAATAACGTGCTTTTAAATGGTCTGAAACATGGCACATTTAATTCTAATGTATCGTCAAATATTTATTTTATGAAATGAGAATCACATAAGGCTAGGACAGCTAAAACAAGCTAGCATCTCAACAGCCATAATACTACGTTTTTACTCCTTCGTCCTCCTCAAAGATTTATGCCTACAGTACCGTCACGAAACTCTAGACTTGAACCCCTACAAGACCAACACAAGACCTCCAGTCTCAATTCAAGTCACAAGCTACTCAAACTGAACAACTAGTCATTATTTATCTTGTCGCTTGTGAGTGGTCCTGTGACTGGTTTTGCGTCTGGTCTTGTGGTGATTTCGAATAACACACAGCCGAACACCCACAAATACTGAGAGCTTGAGAATCTGTTCCAAGCAATGACCAACGCATCACGTCGTGATAGGTTGGCTGGTAACCAAGTTTATGCAAAGCAAAAGTGTACAAAAGCATAGTCCCAATGGTCATCCGACCAACCTACACAGATCGTAATAAATTTTATTTTGCTGATTAAGTTCCAGGATGCACCAAAGAGCAATCGGGGCTCTAATACATGAGCCGTAGTTATGATTTCTTCACCTCAGCCTATTTCTAAAGCTAGGCTTTATAGCAGAAATTGAGGTCAAATCATCCCAAAGAATCACTATCAATTTTGTGTGGATGTTTAACCAATCATAACTCTCCACACATAATTAATGTTTACATTTGTTTTGAGGCTCTAACAGATGTAAATCGGAATTTCTTTCATGATTTCGAGGCACTTTCTCTCAGACACACAGTTTTACTTAGGCCTAAAAGACAGCATTTTTCATCTATTTAGGATTAAAGGACAGTACTTGTCAATCCTGTGGAAATTAACCTTGGAAGTATTTGAAATATCAGTGAGTCGATATTTACTTCAATCAAAAGGCTTTTATCAAGTCAACAATGAAAGTACTGGACCTACCAAAGTAAAGCATTTACCTATCTCGGATATATTGTACGTTGGAAGTAGATAAATCCCTTTTCCCACCAACTTTTGTAAAATTATTTCCCAGCGGATAAAGGTTTTGGCAGATGCACTACAACTCTGGAAAATAGCCAGCAAAAATTAATGAGAATGTTTCAATTTTCAAGCTTAACCTGGACTGTGAGGAATTTATGCAAAACTGCAAATCTGATTCAAATTGGCTGTACATAACATCGTGCGTAGGTAAGTATATCCTGGTTGCTGTTATTTGAAACCAGAGATAAACTACTTCTTTGGATCCAGATTTGGATCCAGCCTCGGAAGGCGAGTTCCCACCGAGCGTTCGTCAGCACGCCGACTGGCTGCAGCCAACTCCCTCCGAATTTGATAGTCATTGCCCCATTCAATATCGTGCTCCACCATGGTCGCCAGACGATGAATTAGCTTGCTGGTACCCGGCACCACTAGGGGATCTTGATCTGGTTCTGGCTCTGGTTCCGGCTCTGGTTCCGGCTCTGGGTCCGGCTCTGGGTCTGGTTCGAGCTCCTGCACTCCTCCTTGCCGTTCAGCGAGTAACTTTTGCAGCCGCTCAATCTCAGCATTCAAGGAGTCGATCTTCTCTCTGAGTTCGTGAGTCTGGTCGGCGAGTTCGTCAGATTGCGTGTTTAGATCGTCAGCCCGAATATCTGTTGGAACCAGATCGTTTAGTTTCTGGTACACACCTGTACACTGCCCTCCAGTGTTGAGTAAGGTTTTGTTGAACTTTCTCAGACGATCTTTGGTGAAATATCTGCAAGTACGGAAAGCAAATTGCTGAGTGCAAAGTCTACGAATTGACCCTTTGAACTAATTCTGACCACAAATGTAGACGGTTTATATTTTCTAGTACGCCATTTGACGTGAAAAAGGTGAGAGGAAATTCTTCAACCCAGTGTTAAATTAGTTTTAAAATATCGCAATTCTCACGGCACCACCAAAATCACACACTAATGGAGCATTATATATATCTCCTAATTCCACATATTAACTTACACTTAAATTAGCACCTGGGCACCAGACTAAGGTTACGTGCTAGGATGATGTTATCTGCAACACGCTTTAGTGTCCGCGATGTTGACGGAGAATTTTAATACCATCATGTACCACGACTGGGATGCAATCGTGGTTCGAGGGTTAAAGATCGAGTAATCCAATTGTCGTAAGGTTTGAGGATACTAACAATTTTGACTAGCCTCACCTCAAAGACAGTAGGTCGTTTTTGAGCTGTTTTACGTCTCGGTGAGTCGCCGCTTCTGCGCTCTGTGATTCGGCAGAGAGATTCTGCTGTGTGTAGCGGCTGCTAATCAACTTGATCACTCGCTGCAAATGAAACAAGAAAAAAATAGGTCGATCAACTGACAATCCTCGAGGTTGACCGTGAAACACTGCGTTGAAAAGATGCAGGCAAACAAGAGAAAGGAAGCAAGACGTCAGGTAACACTGAACTATGAGAAAAATAATGTAAGGGGGACAGACGCAATTTACCACAGAATTGAAAAAGCGATGTGGATTGTTGTTTGGTCACTTACCGAGTAGTCATCAAGTTCATTCTTGGCGTGGATGTGTCTCTGAAATCAGATCGGATTGTGCACTATGTTAACAATAATCATGTTCCATGGTAAACTCGTATTGAGTGTTAAAATCAGTTTCTGATCTTTACTTCATCAGCGAAGACATTGCTTCTTAGACAGATTAACCGTCTAGTAGCCATTTAGAAGTTCGTGGCACTGACAGAAGGGCCTCCGTACGTGACGCTAGTAAGTAAACTACTTTACACATTCTTCCATTTTTAATCCATGAGTCTGGATGGGTAGCGGCATACCACCGAGGAAGAGTATAAAGTTTGAGAAAAATGGGGTCTAAGAAAAATTAAAGTTTAATTTCACGAAATCATCAAACGGGTAAAGTGGTCAAGTATTAAGCTGCGATGGAGTAGTTGACTTACTTTATTCGTGCGTACTCGCCGGGCACACTCGATCCACATACCAAGGAAAGCTCGCAGGAAGCGCCACAGACTCTTAAGGGACGGGATGAGGTTGAAGGGAGGCGGTAGCGTGCCCACTGGATGCAGGTAGAGGTCCCAGACGATAGCACGGTGAAACTTCCACTCCGAATCCGAATCCTCCTGTTCGTACAAAAAGGAGTTAGGAAATGCCACCGTCAAAGATCGACTCATATTTCCCACACTTGTGATTGGACAAGTCAAGCTTAGCCCTGTTTTAAACAGATTGTTTGGGACCAATGGCCGTGGAGAGAGGCCCATGAAATGCCGTGGAGGTCTTTGGCCTAAATTTCGCGAAGGGGTTTCGCACTTCGCCACTATTAGACCAATGGTGGTACCCTGAATTTGTTAAGTTATAGAGATTTGAGGTAGCACCATGCAAGGATATCTCATTTCGAAAAGAACCGGAGGGTATTCAACGTTTCGGACAGTGCTCCCTCCGTCGTCAGGAGACTGGCAGTATTTGGTCTTAGCTGAAGCCACAATTTGGTCTACCTACCTCGACGATGTTGTAAGTGTTGGACAACATGCCGATGAGAGCGTTCAAAAGGATCAAGACACCGATGACGAGATAGCAGCCATACAAGAAGGTGCCGATGAACTCGGCCAAGATGTGATTGGATGATAACTGCAGTGTTTCCAGCTCAGTGAAACCAAAAAGAGTCCAGAACAGTTCCACCAACGAGTTGGGGAAGCTGGGCATAAACAAATGTGACAAAGATGTTAAATAGAGACAACCATGTGGTCAAGTGATTGGATGTTTTTGTACAACCAATGATGTTCAGGAATTCCTCCAGGTTTGTATTTGCAATTACTTTGAACTGCTTAAGTAACTCGAGCGTTAAGAACTTACGCGGCATATTTGACGACATTGCTGCAGGAGGCCTCGTCACCACCTTGCTGTAGGCAGACCTGACTCTCCGAATTGCCTGCTGAGAAATAATTCTGCGTCATGCCAACGGCAAAGGCAAACCAAACGATGAAGAAGATGGCGAAGAACTTGAGGAAGTCCGGGCCCATGGAACCTAGAGAGATGCGGAGCGGACCTAAGGAGGAGCTGACCTTCAGGAGATTAGTCAGCCGCATGATCGAGATCATCATGGCCACGCCGTACAGCGCCTCAGACACCAGGATCGGGTCGTAAGTGTCGGCTGCAAGGTGTACTTGATAATACTCTGGTAAAGTGGTGGTAATGGGGCCCACTGGTGTGGGTGTGGGCGTGGGGGCTGGAGCCCCGTACCGGCAGGCCAAGTCCGACAGGTCCTCACGAGGACCGAGTCCACGCCGTCCTGGATTGAAGACGTCAGGTTATGCTGGAGGCCGCCCAGAACTGACGTTACGTGCTGCCGAATAGCGCTGGATTGATTGACCGTGAGATCATCCACCGCGCGGGCGCCCCGATTGAGTGGTATGTTTGGAGACAGCTTTAGGGGAAAAGAGTATTAAAACACGTTAGGCTACATATATTGGAAGCTAAAAGTAAAAACCTTATCGTCCTGGGGATTGTTATGAATTTTAACTACTACCTTCCCAAATCCTTAAAGAATACAGGATGTCAGAAAGTTTATAAGGTCACAATGAATTGGAAGTGGAATTATAAGCCAAAATTTGTTTTGGTGAAGTTTTCTGGTAAATAGCTGACTTACGTCGATCTTCCAATCCCACTGTAAGAAGAAGATGGTGAGATACAAAGAGACAATGACAGCTTCTTGGATATTGGTGGAGTAATGCACAAATCGTCTGCCACCCTGCCTCCAGATCAATTTGATGTGCATCCAAAACGTACCTGGATGTAGGAAGTGACGTCAACGTGAAAATAGAGGGATGTTTTCAAAATGAGCTTTGTTGGCGTGTCGTCAACGCATGCCCCAAAGAAAGTGCAGCCCAGGTCATTCGGGAAACACCAGTACAGATTTGAGGGGGTGGCCTAGCGGCGCTGCTATACGGTGACTTGCATGCGGGCTTTGCTCTCGAATGACTTGACCTTTCTGAATTCCTAGCATACTCAGGAGGATGCCGAACTTCTCAATGTTCCAAATCAGGATGGAAATACCAAATGTCCTACTTTCTAGTAATAAATGATTGAATGTAGGGAGTTTTCTCAAGAATGGTGCTGCTAAACTTACCAATATTCCAAAGCAAGACGGAGAGGCGCAGAGCTTCACTAAGCTTGGGATCGCTCGCCCTCTCGGTAACACCCAGAGCAACAATCAATCCGATGAAAGCCAGATCTGACGCTAGTTTCATGAGCATCATAACATACCTGAGGTATAAACAAATAAACGTTTAGTATTATCTTCAAGCTTGGCCGTCGAGGGAGGTCCTTTAAGGACGAGCTTGTTCATGATATAGTCCAAAAGAATGAAACTGAAATCCCCCACATGACAAAAGCAATCAAGGGCTAAGATTTTTTGTGAGGTCAAGCCAGTGCTGTGAATTTGAAAACTAAATTGACATCTATTATTTAGTCACAGGTATACGACTGTTAACTTAATGAAAGGCAGGAATTTCCGAGGATTTGGCTTTCTGTTTGAATTTGTCGGTGAAAGACCTTCGACTGACGAAAGACAATGAGCTGACAGAGAACGAAAATGAAATGTTGGTAATTCATATGAAAGAGACTTACCAGGATGCTTTAGAAATAACTTGAGAAAACAATTCAAACAGCCGTTACTCATGTGTGTATGGAACGAAAGATTTGGTATCTTACCATGTTGATCATACCACATAATGCTTCGCTTGCACTGCATTAATACGTTAAAAAACAGACATCCACGGAGTCAGTGCGTCAGTGCTCCCTTCTATTATGAGAAAAAACAGGATGCCTACACTTGTGGAGGGAGTTTATCGCCAAGTTCCCAGAGGTTCACGTGTGTTCAAATTGTACAAAAAGACCACGTCTGTGCACAATCACACCAAAATACATTTCATATTGAGAAACAAGCTTCTGCGAGTTTACGTTGAGTAGTGTTCAACACTGACTCTCACAGCATACCATGTTGGGTCATTTTACTCACGGTATACGGACGAAACGGACGACTCGTGGAACGGGCAACAGGATGTACACCAAAGAGATCGCAGGGAAAAAGACGAGGACGAAAAGGGTCAAGACGGCCCAGTAGATAGCACCCCTGGCATTCCAGGATAATAAGTTCCGAAAGAAGTGCGCCACTAAGACCTTTTGGGAATGAGGATGCGCTATGAACTGCAAAAATGAAAGGTCAGTAAAGTATGCTTTTGTATCAGTGTGAAAGTAAGGGATATTCGCCACCACTCGTTTGAAGTCTACCGAAGCGGTTCGAAAAAAAATACAAAACGCACATTCCTTCACGCAACACAAACAATTTAATCGTGCATCTATATGCCACTCAAACCATTAGCACTAACAGTACATATTGCACAACTTGCAGTGTTAAACTCTGCGCTAACCACACGAGCCTTTCGAAGACCCGGCAACTTGAGCCCGTGTCTTCAACGTGCATTCTAAAAAAAAAACCTGAAAGGGCATGGGCACATGGCGGGTAATAGTGAGCAAAAGTGAAATGCCGAGCTGAAATAAAACAAAGAACGGAATATCCTTACATTTTTCTGTTCGTAGCGAATTGCTTCGGATACTTTGGCAAGGGGATGTTGTCTGCCTTCTCTGTCCCTGTACTGGTCCGTCTTGTGGTATCTGAACAACGCAAGAACCTGCCAAATGCACATCACAACAATGTCACTTGACCCTTAAAAATTACCGCTTAATGGAGCGATGGCTCAGCTTTTAATGATTTTGCTTATCTGTCTCCTGTTGACAGGGATTGCATCGGGCAGTAAAACAATGATTGGTTATACAGGCTCGAAACGGGAGAAACAAATTACCTCCTCGGTGGATGCGGACTGGCCTAACAGGTCGGCAGCAAATTTGTCCACGGCGTCCGCCAGTGCGTCAAACTCGGCGCCAAAATCCTGCCAAGTTTTGCCCAAGAACCGGAGCCTCTTGCTCATCTGAAAAGTGAATGGTGACCATGCTTGAAACCGCCCAGCGTTGGATCACACTTTTACTGTAAAATCACTCATTTTAATCAATGAAACTTCTAATAATTTCCCCGAATTCATATTTTTAAACAGCAGTGTTTCGAGCAGAGCAGGTCGCAACAAAACGGCTATATTAAAATCTGCATTTCCAACATTAAAGCAATGCTCTCTAAATTACGTTCCTCTTGGCCTTTAAAATTGCCATTCTGAGGCAGCAGTCATATTGCACCTTAAAAGCATGGCCAATGACATCAAACTGTGTGGCCATTAGGTAAGCAGGCTGCGATATGGCGCGGTAGATGTGCAGCGTTGAGACAGCTTGAGTCAATGTCACATCAACCCCGACCGAGATTTTTGGTACCTCGATAGTCGCTCCAAGATTCACCAGCATCTGTAGAAGTTTCATAAAATTGTGCAGATCAGAGATACCTGAAAGAAGTGCATTATCTTACATGTGTACGTCGGAATTTTTTCAACATAGTAGCTAGTAGCAGAGTCAGGATTTTTGTCGGGGGGAGGTGGCAGGGGCGCCAGCATACATGGGCATACATACAATTTTCCGGGGGACAAAGCATACTTACAAAAGAAATTCCGTCGGCAAGTGGCAAATTACTGGGGGGTTATGCATGGTGTGTGTGTGTGGGAAGTAACTGGGAATATGGGAATTTATGGAGGGATACGAGCCTCGTCCGGGCTACACCACTGACTGTTGTATGGTAACGAGAAACCCGGACAAATGCCAGAGCTCTGTTATTTGGAAGTGCACTTTGTAGTTCGGTATGTACAATACCTTAACCACCTCGAAGTTGTTGCGTTGAGCAGCCAGAATAAGGGGAGTGATGGCCGGATGAAAGTCATCATTGTCACATGTCGCATCCAGGACCACTTTACATACCTCCTGAAAAAGCCATCATAAATCATGGATTTCACTTTAGTGGAGAAATTTGCGTACGATTAGGGTTTTTATATTAATTGAAAATTGTTGCCACCTATTGCGCGTGTTTTGAGCTCTTACTGGGAGGCCGTGACGTGGATCAACGATTCTGCTTGAGTTAGGCCTAATGCACGACTCGCTGAAAAGAGAAGGAAAAACCTTATACTGTCTACGTGGATATGTCTGTTTTCTGGAGTGAAATTTCCTTATTTATATGTATTAACTATATGAGTGTTGTGGAAACTCTGCTAAGAAGGGAATTTTTCATTCCAATTCCAAAAATTTAGCTCTTAAACGTTTACTCAAAGACAGACTGTCTGTACAGAAGAGGAAGTTTCAAAATGAAGCCCTTATTCATTTTTTTTTGCTCGAGCCAATCAGCCTGGCAAGATCATTCTCGGAGGTCGTCACTTTGACACAACAATACGAGAAAATCCTAACAAAGGAAGACTGAAGGATTTAACGCCTCTCCGGCCACAAGGACAGAATCAGATTTGTGTTTGTCAGAAGTAGCCTCCATTGTGAGACTATTCAGTGATGATTACCAGCGCTATTGCTTGTCAAAAAGGGCAAACAACAATGACGGGGTTGGATGAATTGGCACCTGAGCTTTACGAGGTAGAAGACCTGGAGTTGAAAGGCGTATGTGAAAATCGATATGCAAGTCATGTACGCCGAAGCAGTTGTTCAACCCTAAACTTTTTGAAAAAAAAGTGGTCGTTTCAACAGCGATTATTCCGTTCAAAGAATTTCAAGCCACAGGCAAATTTCGAAAGTAAACATGCACGACCCGGAGGCTGGTTCAGAATTTTCACAATGAAGACGCGGAAAATGGGCAAAGACCTTGATAAACGCAAATCACCTGCAGAGGGAAGAGTTGTTTGAATGGGGTTTGTCCTTAAACAGTGTCAACATACCACGACAGAAGAAAGCTTTCCCCAGGCTTTGTTTGATCAAAGGTCATTGGCTTCATAGATTAAGTTCACCGAAATGTCTCGAGAAATTACCCTATGAGTCACTGGGTAATTTCCGGAGACATTTTCAACGCCATATCACTTCAGTTCTTTTTTCTCTGACATTTTTGTTCAGTTAATGAAAGAGGGACATAATAGAAGGTAAACTAGGTTCTTCAAGAGCTTTTTCAAAAAGAAGGTTAGTAAAGCTGTAACTGCAACTCAGGGGTAACAAAGTAAGTAAAACGCATGACAGAAAGTCTAGTAGAATTTCTGTCATAAGTTTTTTTTTACTGTCCTGCAGTCCGTTTGTTTTGAAAACGTGATAACAGACAAAGATCGTGGCTTTTACGTAAGGCAGGAATAACCACACAAAATTGTCCCTATATTCAGCTCCTGTTCTTGGTCACGCGCTTCCTTCCCTCAACCTAACCTCTTGTCTGTATCGTGGCAGGTTGGTGTTGCTGTAAGTGTTGCTGTAAACCAGACAGCGACACACTGCGCAGTGCGACCGAAGTTCACCACAGAACAAAGGTAAGAAAACAGCACACCATCCAAAAAGCAATTCAAAAGCAGTTCACAGGAACTTTCTGGAGTTCAGTGTCAGAATTCCCTGGGCTGGCTCTCCATTGTAATAGATTTTCTGTTTTTTTCTTGGGAGCGTTCAATACCATATACAGCCGCTGAAGTGTGTTAAAGTTAACCATTCACATGAACAATAGTTCGCTCGTTGGTTACATTATTTAAACCACTGCAATGCATTAGCCTGGGTGTCCTAGCCATTTCAAATTCTACAGTGATCTATTGGCCTGTGACGGACTTTTCTGGCTAGTTATCTATCCAGTCAGGCAGTCACACGTCCCATTTGTACTTTGAAATTATTTGAAGCCGGCTTGTCGCAAAAAGGGGAAATATTAGCATGGTTTGTAACAAGTTCTTGGGGTTCTTTTGGGGAGTAGATATGATGATGGAGGAATAACCCCAAAGCGGTTTCTGGTCATGGAAATTAACTCTATACCCTGCAGTTCTTGGGTAGTTTTTCTCTTATATGTCGGAGTGAATTCCGCTTGTATCCATCCCAATGTATCCTATGACTATATGTCCTATGACTGCATACATGACTTGTGTTCGTAGAGATACATTCTATTTTTGTTATTTTGGAATATTTATCCCCACTGATCATGCTGTGTCCCGTTCATGGGCGTAAATCCCAGGGGCAGATGGGGGTATATATTCCTCCGCAAACACACTTATTGAGGAGGGCCACGGTGTTACTGAGTCATCCCCCGACTTTTCTCAGCGAGTAAAAAAATTAAAGAGGATTGTGAAGACTTTTTCGGACTTTCCAACGACTAAAAATCTCACTCAAAAGAAAAAAATTAAAAGCTTTAAATATGCCATTCTCATGAGAGCTTCTGCGTGAATTCATTGCATATTGCAGATGTACATCTATACTATAAATATTTCCCCGATATAATGTCATATGGTGTCAGTCCCGGGCTCCCTTTCAAATTTCCATGGCCGGACAAGTCATCCCCTATCCCCAATTTTGGGCACAAATTTATAACACTGGTCCCATTCGACTTACTACTTTCGCTTTGAAAAAGTTCGCCTAAGATTATCCCTGAGATTCAGGCCAATCGAGTCTATAGAGTATAATCATTTGAATATTTTAAGTAGTAGATACTGCAATTTTATTTTAGTCTCTCTTTTTATTGGGTGTTTTCTCCACGTTCTACTTTTCAAAGTTATTGCATACAAGGAATCCTGACAACAAGACGACCTACAACCAGAGAAAGTATAACCAAGCTATACACATAGCCTGATGGCCATTATATGGTTGTTATCACAAAGTTATATGCAGTAAGTTTCCCAATATGAATTCTCTGGTGGTCGACTGCCATTGTCACCTGACTGCCATTGTCACCTCGCCCCTCTACCCAGGGCCAGAGGAGCAAATAAAGACTCCGAAAAACCGAGGTACATAGACCGGGTTACTCACTGGATGCGACGCCAGGTGCCGACACACACTTCGGATGGCATCCTCAAAGTTCTCCTCGATGCATCGGATGAGTGCATCACCGAGTGGTATCTCGTGGCTCAGAAGGGTGTTGATTGCATCTGCAAACAGCGCAAGTTAAAAACATACTGCCTCAGGAAATAAGCTCCGTAATAGCAGAATTATAGACACTCTCATTTTGCCTACAGCTTGTAAGCTTGGGAAACCAAAGTTTGCAGAAAAATCACCCCTCTTTTGGGGTTTTTGATTTTTGATGTACATTCGTCCCGTTACATTTACAAGAAGGTTTGGTTCTTTGCCAAGAGTGGTACATTTATGAATGTGTTGTGTTTTGATGGTCACGTAGGATTTTGAACATTTTGTGAATTACTCTTAACCTTTTAAAAACTTTTATTCTGACTACCAGCCATGGGTTTAGCAGCCACTTATGGAAAAACACGACAGTGACGTCAAAAGAATAGATCTTATTAATGATTAACTGGAACAAATAAGACCATAGTATGCTGTACTGCAGGACAGCAAACATGGCTAATTAACATTGTAATTCGACCTTATACCATTTCTGAAACAGATACAATATATTTACTGGTACACGTATATGAGAATGGCACTCCCGAGCACGAACAATTATAAAAAGCGAGGGTTCCACACTTTATTTTAAAGTGTAGCTACAATGGTTGAATTTTTGCAACCTTGTGATCTTCGTCAATATGTGGAAACTCTTCTTTTCGGTTAATTGCACTAAAAAGTTCACTTTTTGAAACTATAACTTGAAATTATCCAAATGGATGCTTTCTGGAACAACTGAGGGTGCCGTTGCTGTGATGTCATCCAGGGAAGTTCAGCACATAGGTTTTACAGATTAAATTGCAAACGCAGAATTTACTTAATGAAAACATTTCGGGGAAAGGGATTGATGATGGTTTTGTTGCTATGCACAAACATCACGAAATGGGTGTCATTTCGTGAAACCGCATTATCAACAACTTCGGTTTACGAACTGACACCCGGTAGCACAAAGAAAAATGCTTTGAAAGTCATTTTTATCTTGTGAAATTAAGATCAGTACCAAGTCGTGAAAACGAAAATATCTCGGTTCTCTAAAATGTGCACAAATGAGACCACCTCGTCCACGACTGAATGTCAGTTCGTGGTGTCGGTGACGGGCATAAACAACAACAGATCAACAAAGACGACAAAAATCAGTCCAGCAAAATCTACAAAAAGGAAGGACTTTTTGTGTACAAACCAATGTAACACTGAAGCTTGCTTTCTGGGATGACATTACAGTTTTGCTCATGAATAATGAAAATATTATCATGAAAATCAAAGAAAGCAGTAATTAAAAGATCCTTTGAACTAGTGAAACAAAAGTTGAAAGTAGGTCAACTGAGACACATAGTAGCATTTTGATGGTTTGCATTAAATAGCTTGTTCTCTACGATGTCCGCGTTACATCCTCCGGTATCTTCTCAATTCGTCAGCCAATCAAAGGAGGGATTAGCGGTAGTTATGGAGAACAGCCTTTAGTCGCTTTTACCTAAGATTGGATTTGACGCTCTTTGACAGATCAATTTCAATGATGGTGCCGTTTGACTTATGCATGTTGGGACTTTAGAGGTTCAAAGGAGTTTTTTGTTACAGTGATCTAGGGTGTTAGGGCTATACTCCGACGTGGCTACTAACTGAAAAATACAGTAGACATCATGAATAAAAAAGTTGGCATAAAAGAAATTATATAAAAGGTTCAGCGAAGAGCTCATATTAAGACATAAATAATTCTGCAAAGGTGTCGAAAATAACTAAATGTTTCGAATCATTTAGAAGGGCCAACGTTTTACTATAGGAATTAAAATGCGTGATTGTAGAAATGTTTTATAAGCTAGGGGAATCCTGGTTGTAAAAACGTCAGAATAGGTCTATGTTTCCAAACCTGTAGGAAAGTTTCATATTTTGCTGCAATGAAATACATTTCATGAGTCACCTACTGTTACCTAAATACTGCTCTGTTTGCTACTGATTTTGTTTCACGAAATTTGAGCTTTACCTAGGAAGCCGCCATCAATAGCCGTGACATACAGAGACAGCCCGCGGCTATCCCTGCAAGCTGTCGCGTCCCACCCGCTATCCTTGCACCGAGTCAGCAGCTCGTCCAGCCGATAAGCATTGCCTGTCCGAATGACTTCTAAAATCTCCTCGACTCGAGTGTCCCTAAGTTCGCCTGGATCTGCAGTCGAGTCATCGCCGTCGATGTCCTGCTCATACACGAGCGGGCCCGGGTCGCCCATGGTGAGCCGTTAACTTCACCAAGGGTCCCCTGCCTGACACCCGTCACAACTCCCGTGGAGTTATACACGTATTAGTCCCGTAATCAACACACGAGGGTGAATTTGTCGCCCCAAACGGTACAGATCACTTCGAGTGCCGCTGTTTGTCCAGTTTCAGGTGCACTTGTTCATTAAATCACAAAGAAACCATGCAAGTACTGATCTCTGAATGGGGTTCAGAACGTGCACCTTGAACAGCAAGGTTTATTTCACCTGCGTCAGTGCTCCTGTCGTCGTTTCAACGTCCCATCGCTTGTGCCTTTATTGCTTACACTGAGGTCTGCGTTTCGTTCATCAGGCATACATAATAGTTTGACCTTACGACCGATTCAACCTCTAACCACGTTTCCAAAGCTAACACAAGTTTGTGGCGCATCAAAAGGTGTACCAGACTCTTCTGTCTACCTCTATTCATTGCTGCCAATAGCTGGCTTTTATCTGTCTTCAAAGACAACTATTTCCCTGCCCTTCCTCGCAGAGATGACGTGCGGCATGGTGCTACAACGAAACGTGGTTTAAACCTTCATAATGGAGGCCTTATTACGCCAATTTGAAAGCCCAAGGGTCATACCAGCAACTTAGAGAGGTAAATGCGGGCATACCGTTACATGCATGACTGCTCAAACTATGTAAAGAAGAATTATGTTTAACCATTCCAAAATGAATCACTTGACAGTCCCATACGGCTATGTGTGCTTGACTGACCCGCACCCATAGTCATTTTTATTAATGTTGTTTTCAAGCTCTGATGGCTGTAGAAATGTAAACGTCCTGAAATGTAAGAGGGCACTATGAGTCATGAGCATAAGTAAACGGCACTTTTATTTTCAACTAAAGCCGTGCCCAAATTACTTGGCTAGAAGCCTGAAATTGCATACGAGCCCAAGTGGCCGCGCCCAGTTCTCATACAGTCATGCGTAATTTTAAGCCGTAGCCAAGTGATTCCAGCGCACGCTATTCGGTCTGTTGGGGGGGGTTCCATTAAAGTACTCTCGCTCACAACATCATAGGTGGGTGGTTACTGATTTCAAACACAAATCATACGAAATGAATAAATTGTTCCCTAATTCGAAACTCGTTTGAAGCGAGTCGAAAAACAATTTTTTTTAATGAAAAAGGCCTTAACCCTTAAAGATGTAGTCCTTGTTTCATTAGAAAGTAAACTGCGTGCATGTGTCTACCGAGGGGAAGGGTAACTTTCGTTACTTTCCTCCTTGAAGGGGTGCGTGTAGACTTGTCATCCCTTTAATTCTCTACGGAACACCCATTTTTGTTGGAGTCTACATTTCATGACATCGCGCACTGCAAAAACTCAGGTGTTAAAAATCAATACTTTTTGGTGTTATCAGACGACGTGTTACTGTGCACACCTATAAGTGTGACGGTGCAATGGCAGATGTTAAAAGGAACATCAAATAACATCAAAAATTATAACACCAGTGAAAAATTAGCTATTGTGTGTTTTTTTCCATGCACGCGCAATGACCAACTATTTAGGTTCCAACAATTAAGACTCTCATGTCGCAACTCTCTAACAGCTCTGGTCTGTGGCAGAGTTGAGCGCCCTCAACAGGTGTTAAGACGACACCGCTCTAGCGCCACCACTATCAAACAAATGCATTCTTTAAACATGTATCTACGATCGAGGTGGCGCTGTAACACGCAGATCCCCCAGCGCCGTTTGACAGGCGATTTCTGCCACCCCTTTATACCGCACGACAGCCAAAAGGATACAGCCACGCTTCTGTTCCTGTACTTGACAGCTCTTCAGTCGTTTTCCCGACCCCACGATATTGGTTTCAAACCCTACAGACCCACGGTCGTCTTAACGGTGTGCGCAGAGAATGACATTTGGAGAACTGAGGGTACACGCGCAGGTTTTCTGACACCCAGACTACGGGGATATGTGAGGATTGACATACACTTTACCACATTGTCGACTCAAAAATGGAGGAAGTTTTCTGATACAATCATTGCTCGGTTCGAGAATCGTCTACAGCAAAGTTTCTTTGGAGAGAGGACGAAAAGGCCGTATCACAGTGCTTCGCTTGGTGCGTCCAACTTTGGAATTATGTCCGTTTATGAAAACTGCGCATGCGAAAAAAATTTACGGACATGGAAATGTCACATATTTTACAATGTTTTTGCAGTAGTTGAGCGTCTTTGAGAGACATTTTTGGATAGGAGCTCTGATATATATCTTCATGGGAAAATACAAAGGGATTTCTTTGCGGAAGGAAATTAACCGACAAAATGAGTTCAGGTAATAGCTTGTCCATTACAGCTCTGGAATGAAACTCGAAACGAAAAACCTGGTCGAGTATCACATTTAATAAATGCTTCCTCACAAACGCTTTGATTGAATTCTGAGGCGACCTCTCCAGTCACCTTCAGGCTTTGCAGCCCGTTATTGGTAATACAATCTTCGGTGGCATTGCGAGGAGATGTTAGAGAGGGGGTGATGCATTTGGGTCGTGAGGGAAAGAGGGAGGAGAGACAGACGGCTTAAGAAAACAAGCCGTGGTGGCGTGCGATGTGGTGTGAAATAAACTTCGGGGCTGTCAGTAAGAGTGAGATGGATACGGGTTTGGAGAAAGTGCGTCACAGCCCGTAACTGAGCGTCTATCGAACAAGAATTATCATTCTTTTTCTTGCAAACAATTGCCGGCAGATTCGTCGTCGTCTATCGCCGTCGATGGCTGAGAAGAGTGGCAGCGTCGTTCATGTTTGAATTTTTGCCCTGGCCTGGCACCTAATGGATCGATCCTGGACTTGGAATGGGGTCTAGATGTTGATTTTGGTGTTATCTTAGATGTGGAACTTTTGTAGCCTTATCGGCGCGCAGCAACGATGTGCACCAGCGTTGTCTTCGAGTTTTTAGGATTCATTTTTCGACTACAACTTCAGAGGAATGTAAGCCAAAATTGGTTCTTCTACCTTCACTTGGCGTCACAGCCAGAATTGGTTTGCTGCACGGCACACTTCTACAATGCTACATGAGGTATTCTGCTTCTGATATCTGCATGTGGAATTGAAGTTTACCTTGCTGATGCAGCAACCAGTAATAATTAACGTGGCTGGAACAGTAGCCGGAACTCATCGTTTTAAACGGCCCATAAAACGAACAAGTCCTATTCAATTTCACCGAGGAGGTTTAAAAATTTTATTCGCGTTGTCAAATGCAAAAGCAGCGAGACAGCGTCACTGTCGGTCGCTCTAGTCTGGAGCAGACTGAAGTCTCGATTAATTCGTTTCGGCAATCCAGGCTCTTTCTTTGGAAACGGGAAATAAAAAGATTTTTCACCATGGTGCCGTGCCCGTGGAAATTAAGCAGAGAAGGTGGCCTGTGGTGGACTGTCTGGATGTGTGCGGTGCTGATGCTTCTTGGGAAAGAAGGTAGGACCCAGGAACAACGTCAGAAATGCTGAGGGAACTAACATCTGTCCTTTGAATAATTTGACTTGAGTGTGCACGCAAGCATAGACCAATACGCTAATATAGCGGAATACGCGTAAGTCGTAACGCGTTTGCGCACGTCGCAGACATCCGTAAAACGAGGTGCGCATCATTTACTAAACGTTTTACTGTGTTCAAAGCGGCTTTAAACGCCCTCGCTGGACATTCATACAAACGTGGTTTGTCCTCTGTTGCCGAATTAATCAGATTTAATTTCCAACTGTTGGTTTAATATTTCAACGTGTGCGTTGCTGATTAATGGACGATTCTGGTACTCACAAGCGCGTTATTGTTTTCATAAGAATCGTAAGGCTTCAAGGTAAAAGAATGCAAATACGGATTCGTAAAAAAATCTTTTTATGCAACTATTAAGCAATTTGGAGTTTTCTTTTGTTTTATTTTTGGTTTTTTTCTCAGGGGATCAGACTTTAGCTAGGAGCATGGATGGTATACTTCGCCGAACAACGAACCACGTCCAACAAAAGATTTCAATCTGAAACAGAACTCTTGCTCAAGATCGCAATCGGAGTATTCGGGAAGGGCCCGGCATCGCGGGAAAGGGGGTTGACGGTATATCTAATTGCTACCCGAAGTTTGCAGGGTAAACACTACAGTCGGCGATATTAAATCTGAAAATATTTTCGCCGGTGGCGTTGAAATCAAATTTGGTGCCTCACTCGGTCTGGCTGCAATCCAAAATTCCTTGACAGAATGAGAGTGGAGACGAGAGCCTCATGAACAGCGCAAAATGAAAAGCCATCGACCACTGAAGGTTTTTGTCTATGCGTTTGCCTGCCGTGTACGAACAAGATTTTCCGCTTTGTTGTACGGTCAGCAAAGCATTCAAGAACGCCTTTCATCCGTCTTTTTTGGCTGGTGAATTCGATTAGCTTTCCGTGGCGAATCCCAGTAAACAAAAAGTGAACGCAGAGCGCTCCGAGGTGAAGACCATTTGCAGCACAATGAAACGGTTGGCAGAGTCTTTCAGCCATTTTTAATTTTGGCTTCTTGGAGATGTGCGTGACCTTGAAGTGAAAATGACATTTTCTTAAAAAAGAAAAGGCTAAGACCATGGCGCAGGCAGTGCAAAGGAAACTGTGCGTCAACCAGCCAGTTTGAAATTCTGTTATACCAACCAACATCATATTTTTTCTGGTGTAAACATTGCCTTCAAATGTGAATATTTCAATTCCAGACCAATTAAGAGTGACCAATCATTGCAAGATCGTTTTTTATTCTCGCCTCTCGTTTAATTGTTGCCCATTGATTTGTGAATTCTAGCATTATGAACTACGTAGGTGTCATGATGCACTAGTTGAGCTTGAGGGCAACATTATTCAGAACCCTGGTGTAATTTATGTGAGTGTACATTGGCGAAAATAGTCATACTACACAATATTATGTGAAAGACAACAAAACTCCACGGCCGCGAAACGTTCTATTGAAACGTCGGATCTGACAGAATATCCAGGGACGTGTCTTCAGCCGTTACAGAGTATCGAGCCATTAGTGAGTGTAGCAGCAAATTAATCATAAAACTGTGTCCACACGTAAGGACCTGTCAAGGAAATAGCGTAGTTAATCATGAGTGATGAGTGTCCAGGTGGTTGTCCTATGAAGATTAATTGAAATTAGCACTGTGTTTGTACATAAATGTTCACTGAAATTGGAGGGACCCGAGCGTTCATTTTCAAATTGATAGCTTCTTCCTCCGTGCTTGATGTCTGTGCCGTTCGCAAGTTTATCAAAGGGTTGGGGAAGTAAACCATGTAATGATTTCTCCTTTTTGTCAGAAAACGAAACACATGTGAACTCGAGAATGGCGAAGAATTTGGTAGCATTGCAATGACAGCAAAGGACTTAAAATCGAAAACAAGTGAAATATCAAATTACAATTTGTACCTACTGGTCTTTATCATACCTCAGACGTTCAAAGTATGACCAAGTTTACCTCAAGGTATATTTATATTATATCTCACTAGTACTGAGTATACCTCCAAAAGTACTAAGTATCTACAAATAATGATTGAATATAAGATAAGCGTCACTTTGTTCTTGAGGGTAGTGACGTCTTCTCGATCAATGCTTACGTGAGGCGGGGCATTACCACCGCTCCGCTGATCGATCAGCAGTGAGAGAGTATGGTAAGATGTTCGCACGACCATCACGTTTCTGTTTGGGGCTACCCGTAGGCTGTTGGTGCACAGAAGAAAAATGTGGAATAATTACGTTACGCTGATCAAAACCGAGGCATTTCCTCTCCACTAGCGCCCCCCCAAATGTCTCGAGAAACAATAATATTAAAGCTAATCCATTGCCGAGGTCCTTCATGTCTATGTGCTTGATATTCAGGTAACCAGTACTTAGTATAAGTTTGTTTCTGGCGATATATTCCTCACTCTCTTCCAAGGCACTTAAATATTTTTACACAGGTATGCAAAAGCTATACGTAACATTAAAGGTAACACTGAACCTTACTTCAGCTATTCCTATTTCAAGCCCAATCCGAGAGGAGATGGACAAAGCTGACAACATGCGCAAGATTCCAACCCTAGCATCCACCTGGGAGGTGTTTGCAGAAGAAAGATCGACGGGTTAAAAACAGCAGGGGAAAAAAAGGACTTTGCGATCGGTGCACTGTGGTCATTTTCAGGAAGAGATGTTCTTGATATTGCCGTAAACCTGATGATATGCCATCTGCTTTCAGCCTAGGCGCCCTTTACAAGTCATTATTTTACTCGAAAACCTAGGTAAAATGCACGTTTTAAAATGTGACGTCAATGCAAGAGATACTACACACTTTAAAAGGCTTGAAACTTAAGAAGAATCATCGACCAGATATTTGTCCCGAAACAGGCTAAGGTGTTGAGAGGAAGGCGCGGTTGGTCTTCTCTCTGTCCGCTCGTAGCCCGATGATGTGATTAGCATCGACCTAACACGCTGATTGATTTAGTGAGTCCAGTGCGCTTGGTCACTTCTGGACACGCAGTTATTGACCAATAGCTGGATGGGTCACTCATTAGACCGGAAGTGCAGCGACTGCAGTTGCGCTGAGGCGTGAGAGGAGGCTGCCACCTGGCCCTAACTATGAGTTATCAGCCTTGTAAGGCCGTATCTAAATTTGATTGGCTACGGATGGATTCAGAACGCGACTGCGGAAGCCACCAGCCAGCAGCTTTACACATTTCCAAGAGAAGCATGTGATATATCTAGTCGCAGCCATGTATTTTGGACACAGCCTAAGATTTGAACAACCAGACTATTTTGAAATATTAAATTGTAGGACCTATATTGGTTGGTTTGTTCTGACCTCATATAGAAACGATCCTTTATTTGCACATTCTGTTGTAAAACAACAGCAATAAAACTTGCCCACCAAATGAAATCATCATGTACGAAAAGCAAAACATGCACCCTTCACGATCATACGACTATTCAATGACATCTTGACCACGCCAGATAATCCATATTATAGTAAGGCGCATTAAATTGTAACAGAAATTATCTAAATCAAATTTTAAAACATCCATTAAATTGTGACTTGACATTATGACAAACTGAACGTATAAACAAGAAGTAAAGTGATAAGAGAAAAGGAGTTTATTGCTTTCCTCAATCTTGGTTTACCTACCATCTAAATTTTGAATGTCTCTTTTCATCGTAAATTCCGAAACTAGGGTAATTAGGAAACAGAGCACAAGCAGCAGGTTATATTTTCAGTTTGGTAAAGCATTGTATGATTTAGAATCATACGCAATAGAAAAACCCTTTACCCACAGTGCATCGGTCACGGCGCCAAAACGTTAAATCCGTTTCCTTTGTCCCCTTTGTGAAACACTACCCCAAACTGGGTATCAAATTAAGTCCAAAAACACTGCACCCGCGAGTGACGATGGATTGTAGCTCTGTCGACGGCTGATGCATGGTGACCAGGTTTATCGCGTAGATTTAATAACAGCAGTTTCATTTCAAAAGGACAAAGTTCACGGTGACCAAGTTATTTTGTCTGGACTCGAGGGCGTATGAGGTCGACTTGCATGAGCTCGGCCACTTAGACTTTAGAATGGAAAATCGTCATGGCACGGTCTCCTGATTCAAAAGGCTGTATGTTTCCCCATTTTAACAAGTGAATAAGATAATCAGTCTAGTACATATCCTTAGCAATCCTTAGTAATCGATATTTTGGAGCTTTGGCTAAAACCCCCGGCATTCGAAACTGTTTGTTACTTTGAGATGTGTTAATACACTTTGACGTACTGCCCCGAAATCCGCACTGTGCACTGCTTACAATTTTTTATATAGATATATGCCTAAAAGCTAAAGACTGAAGTGGAAAGTCTCATCAAGTGCGATTTATCAGTATTGCTTCTCAAAGAACCTGAACGTGTTTTCAAGGACGACGAATGTGTCGTTCATTTGAGTGACCGTCCGAATAAAACCCCAGCCGAAGACGGGGATGCTGGAACAAATATTCGATTCGCTCTCGGGCAGTGTCGGTGCTACGACATTGGCCTGAATAGAACAGGTATGACTGTCGTTGCCTGAGGCTACGGTATGAAAAATATCAGATGAATTATTATGAGGGTATTTGGTCACACATTCAAAGAGACTTTCCTTCGGATGTTATAAGAAAGCTTCATGGATAGACAAAATCTAATGGGTAAAACATGAATAACTGCGATCAGCATCGTGTTACCTCTCGAGTTGCTTGGTAATAAATCTTCGTGTTTTCTTTTAAAGTCCACCCTAGTCTTCAAAGCTACATTTATGAAAGCTGGGGTCACATTTCAGATGTAACGTTTTTGTTTCTCATGTAGGCCCTACCAGGTTTATTCTGAGATAGCTGTTTCAGCGTCGTCCATCACCGTACAACAACATGGCCCCAAGTGTGAAAACATTTTCGATACCACTTCAAAGTACCAGGACAACGTGTCAAATAT